TGTGGTGGTGGAGAGGGGGGGTTGTGGTGGTGGAGAGGGGGGTTGTGGTGGTGGAGAGGGGGGTTGTGGTGGTGGAGAGGGGGGGTTGTGGTGGTGGAGAGGGGGGGTTGTGGTGGTGGAGAGGGGGGGTTGTGGTGGTGGAGAGGGGGGGTTGTGGTGGTGGAGAGGGGGGGTTGTGGTGGTGGAGAGGGGGGGTTGTGGTGGTGGAGAGGGGGGGTTGTGGTGGTGGAGAGGGGGGGTTGTGGTGGTGGAGAGGGGGGGTTGTGGTGGTGGAGAGGGGGGGTTGTGGTGGTGGAGAGGGGGGTTGTGGTGGTGGAGGGGGGGGTTGTGGTGGTGGGAGTTTGAAGAGTGGGGTGGGAAGGGCGAGGGGAATGGCAGACAAGGGTGTTTTTCAGATAGTCAAGAAGTGGCCTAGTGGAGAAGTGATGTGCCACATGTGTGTCTGTGATGTGACGGACCACTGGTGGGGGGTTGGGTGGGACGGCAGGGGGAGAAGTAAACGGGCCAGGTGCTCTTCAGTTCGCCACAACAAAGTTGCTTTTGAGTCGACTCAAAAGCGGGATGGACCACTGGTGGGGGGTTGGGTGGGACGGCAGGGGGAGAAGTAAACGGGCCAGGTGCTCTTCAGTTCGCCACAACAAAGTTGCTTTTGAGTCGACTCAAAAGCGGGATGGACCACTGGTGGGGGGTTGGGTGGGACGGCAGGGGGAGAAGTAAACGGGCCAGGTGCTCTTCAGTTCGCCACAACAAAGTTGCTTTTGAGTCGACTCAAAAGCGGGATGGACCACTGGTGGGGGGTTGGGTGGGACGGCAGGGGGAGAAGTAAACGGGCCAGGTGCTCTTCAGTTCGCCACAACAAAGTTGCTTTTGAGTCGACTCAAAAGCGGGATGGACCACTGGTGGGGGGTTGGGTGGGACGGCAGGGGGAGAAGTAAACGGGCCAGGTGCTCTTCAGTTCGCCACAACAAAGTTGCTTTTGAGTCGACTCAAAAGCGGGATGGACCACTGGTGGGGGGTTGGGTGGGACGGCAGGGGGAGAAGTAAACGGGCCAGGTGCTCTTCAGTTCGCCACAACAAAGTTGGCCACTCTATACTAAGGTGACCATAGTCTGCCTGCGCCGTACCAAACCACACTGCACCACACTGCATTGTGACCTCGCCGATGTTGAGGTAGTCGTAGTCGCGGTCGACAGTGGCGAGCGCCCCTCTCAAGCCTCTCCAGTCTCTCATACTGCACCGCCCTGCCCTGCACCATATTGCACCGCACCGCACTGCACCAGACTACTCACCGATGTTGAGGTAGCCGTAGTCGCGGTCGACAGTGGCGAGCGCCCCTCGCAGCCAGTCCCACTCGGATGAGTCAAAGTGTGGCAGGGCGGGGTGCGTGTGCTGCAGCAGCGTGATGAGCACCAGGAACATGTTGACAATCAGAAGAGGGCACACGTACACCTGCAAAGGAAGTGGGGGTGGATGAAAGGGGTGCGGGTGGGGAAGAGGCAGAGGATATAAGGCGGGGTGCGTGTGCTGCAGCAGCGTGATGAGCACCAAAACATGTTCACTATGCGGAGAGGACATGCATATACACCTAGTGTCATGCTAGACTACGCTACAGCCATGCTACAGCCGTACCTTGAGCACCCACGCAAGGCCATAGGTAGATCCCAGGGAGTTGAGGCACCCGAGGACTCTCTGTGGATTCCCTGATTCGCTAGTGCCATTCTAATCCATGCTACAGCTGTGCTACAGCCCTGCTATAGCTAAGCTACAGCCCTGCTACAGCCAACCGTACCTTGAGCACCCACGCGAGGCCATAGGCAGAGCCGAGGGAGTAGAGGCACCCGAGCACTCCCAGCAGCCCCAGATCGCTGACAACCACCCAGAACCGCTCTCGATCGCAGAAAATCCCCGAGTAGGGGCTGAAGTGGTTGGCGTAGCTGCCCTTGTACTCGTGGCCCGACACGTTGAAGGCGAGGGTAGAGCGGCCAGCCGAGGGTGAGCGTGACGAGGATGGAGAGCACGCGGCCAAAGGGGTGCTGCAGGTACTCTGATACTGGCGTCAGCTCCTCCCTGCGCTTGGGCACGAACACCTGGCGAGGGGCGGAGGGAGGAGGGAGGAAGTGGGAGGAGGTGGGGGGAGGAGGTGGGAGGAGGCGGGAGGAGAGGGGCACGGGGAAGGGGGAAAGAGGGAGGGGCCAGCCGAGGGTGAGCGTGACGAGGATGGAGAGTACGTGGCCAAAGGGGTGCTGCAGGTACTCTGATACTGGAGTCAGCTCCTCCCTGCGCTTCGGCACAAACACCTGGCGTGGGGCGGAGGGAGGAGGGAGGAGGAGGGAGGAGGTGGGAGGAGGTGGGAGGAGAGGGGCACGGGGAAGGGGGAAAGAGGGAGGGGCCAGCCGAGGGTGAGCGTGACGAGGATGGACAGCACGTGGCCAAAGGGGTGCTGCAGGTACTCTGATACTGGCGTCAGCTCCTCCCTGCGCTTCGGCACAAACACCTGGCGTGGGGAGGAGGGAGCGGGCAAGAGGGAGGGAACAAGCCATCAACTCGAAAGTCACCTGGTTGGCACATTCAAAACGTTAATCTCGCATGGTGTAAATCTCAAGAGTATGATGGGTTACTTATGTGGTTGGCATACTCAAAACGCGTTTCCACACGGATATTTTTGTAGTTTTGATTGGGCCAAGCACCACCCCCGAAGGCCCTATTTCTGAATAAATTGATTGAAGTGATGGCGCGGGAGAGCAATCACAACCCTACTTGTTCACTCAATCGCGTACCTCGTCATTTTCCAGGCTGCCTGTGTTGCTGTGGTGGCGACGGTGGCTGTACTTCCTGCTCAATCGAGATTACAGGAGGCGGAGGGGAGGTGGGTGAGGGGAAGATGGGATGAGGGGACGTGGAGGGGGGAGAGAAATGGGGGGGGCGTTTAGTTGCTGTGGTGGCGACGGTGGCTGTACTTCCTGCTCAATCGAGATTACAGGAGGCGGAGAGGAGGAGGGTGAGGGGAAGATGGGATGAGGGGACGTGGAGGGGGGAGAGAAAGGGGGGGGGCGTTTAGTTGCTGTGGTGGCGACGGTGGCTGTACTTCCTGCTCAATCGAGATTACAGGAGGCGGAGGGGAGGAGGGTGAGGGGAAGATGGGATGAGGGGACGTGGAGAAGAAGAGGGTAGGCAACGATAGGGAGTGCGGGGAGATGACGGTGGGCGAGTAATTTTTGAGAATTCTCAAAAATCACTCGCGGGGAGATGACGGTGGGCGTTTAGACTAAATGAGGGGAGAAAGCGGGTGGTGTTCACTAGCATCTTTTGTTTCAGAAAAGGGTGGAAGTGGGAGTTAACTGATGAGCTGACGTGTGAGGAAAATGAGAGGAGCTCTTAATTGATGGGACAAGAGATGGAGCTAGAAAAGGGGTTAGGAGATGTGTCGTGCGCCGTTGTAACGAAGTGCAATATACGCGAGTCAAAGAACACTTGGGGAAAGGGCCAGGAGAAAAGAAGAAACAAAAGGATCAGTCGTGGAGGAATTTATGGAGCAATTCTTAACGTGGTTAGTTTCGTTGGTTTTCTTTCCTAATTCTCTCAGAAGTCACCAGACAGTCCGTCATGATATTCTCATTCCAACACTCACCAGGAGAAGTAAGGCACGAGCAGCCATGAGTGCACCACCATGCCGACCGTGTCATTCACAAAGGCGTAATCCGAAAACGCGCCATGGCCGCACTCGTGCGCGATCACCCACAGCCCCGTGCACACGCACCCCTAACAGCAGCCACGTGTACAGCCCCCACAGGATCACCGACACCGCCGGCCGAACGTACGGCTGGAGATGCGCCGGGAGGAGCGGTTCAACGGCCGGATCTACGAGTTGGTGGATGTCGTCGAAGCGCGTGGTGGGCGTAGAGGAATAAGGCGGCGAAGGCGAGATCGATTAGGAGGTAGGAGAAGGAGCGGAGGGTGGAGCGCTGGAAGCAGTGTGGGGGGATGGCTCGGCGTAGGTCACCCAGGGTGAAAGGCGGCTTTGCCTGGAGGGGGAATGGGAGGAGGGAGACAGATGGAAATGAGAGTTAGATGAGGCGAGAAGGGAGATGGAAGCTGATCAGGTGTCGATTGTTCTGGAAGAGCTAGTCGGAACGTCCGATTGCTATGAGAAAGTCAAACGTCATCAAGCGGAAAGGGACTTCGTTCCATGACTATCCCTGACGTTCTGCAAGGATCTGGACTGGCTGACATCATGGGACAGATTCCAGAACTACACTCACAGATGGAGCTCGAGCGATCTTGTTGCTGTTCTTGTTGTTGTTGCTGCTGCTGCCCTTCGCATCAGCAGCCGGTGCCTCGCTGACAGCGCGACGACTCACAGATGCGACTCCCTGACCTTCGCGACCCATGCTTAAGTCTACTACCTTGTAATCCACGATAGTACTGGGAAAGGCTGCAGGGTACTAACGAATGAGTGAATTGGACGGAGCTGTTGTGATGCGTTGACGGATCAAAACCAGCCGTATGGCTTAGATCGTGCTGATCTAGGTTCTGGTTGGCTGAATAATGCTACTGCTCGGCAGTGAGATCCGCTCAAACCCCGTTCCGCCAATACACTATGGATTCCTGTTAGTTGCGTCTCCCCGACGCAGACAGGGGGTTCGTTCGGCTGGAACGGGGGAAGAACAAGAATGCAGAGCAGAACAAAAAGCAGCAGAGAATGCAGATTGGATAGTCAATTTCAAGCATTCACAAGAAGTGCCCCCTTGATCACAGTGCCAAGCGAGGCAGAGGACAGCAGAGCAAAGCAGAGCAGAGCATGGCAGCAGCAGAGGGACCACAGAGCAAACATGGTTGGTTGAGCAGGCTGCAGGAAGGTTGGTTCGGGCGGGCGCAATCGGAGATCAAGGGCGAACCAACCTCGGAAATGTCGTCTTGCTATTGTAACCTCCGATGACGAGGCTTGTTGCGTGGCTGTTACAGGTTCGGCTCAACGTGGAAACAAGCTTGATCAATCAAGCCAATCCCCGGGTGGCATTGTCCCTCTGATTATGGACGCCGAGCCTGATAACAAGGCGAGGGTTCACACCTGGGATTCGGGCCTGGTATGGTTTGGGGCAGGTCGGGACCACACACAAAACATGTGACGAGGCCGTGAGGCACACATGATTGGTTACCATACCTGTGGAAGCTGTATCAGGCTTAAAGTGCTACCGCTCCGACATTCCCGAACCTCAGGCAGTCATAAAAATCTTTGAGTGGGTGGAATAGGTCGCACCCGCGCCGCATTGAAAATCGACTTGTCCACTATGACACTTTTCACTGGCTGTCGTTGCCAATCAAGCAGGACAGTGGACCTCATTGTTCGTTCATTAACGAGAACAACTTCACTAACTATAACGAGTTGTTGCTTGTCCTAAAGTTTCGCGTAATTTCTTACGAGTCGTTACCGGAGGAAATAATGAGACTACATACTTTTCCTTGCAAGCAGGCTTGAATAAAGATTTTGTAACGAGGCAGGAGAAATCCAATTCTCCCAAACATTTCAATATCGCCCTAGGGAATTGGGAACATCACAATTACCACCAAGCCAACCAAGAACATCGCTTTCATGGTAGACAGCATTCCTGCTTGCACGGACTAGTGCTACCGTTGAGGTGTTTTTGCCGTTCGCTGAGAAATCTCGCGTGCTTTGCGGACAGATTGGTTTCCCGCGTGACCTCTGCGCGCACTAGGTTTGTTAACGCGACTTATCTGCGCGGGTGGCGCCATGGCTGAGCCGGAACGGGTCCGCCTTCCCGCGCGGTCCACCCGCGGAAAACGGTGAGTCGTTAGGGGGAAGAGGTTAGCAACGCGAGGAGGTAGCAACTAGCTCGTTGTTGGGTCGGCTAAGAGAATTACGAGGCGTCGATGAGAAACTCCTGTCATGACCCCGTCATCCCCCTCTCAAGTAGCGCCTTTTCCTTTGCCTTTCCCTTCCTTCTTCCTCCTTTCCTTCATTCCTCCACTCCTGTCCCCCTTATTCCTTTTTTTTTTTTTTAAGGAGCTGCGTTTGTAAATCCTCAAAATCATTTTTGCGGTTTCCTCTTTCCCCCACTGCCTGCTCCAATCAGCGTGTCGGAGCTGGTGGGGGAGGATCTAGACGCGGATGAGGAGTTTTGGAATCAAAATGCCTTTCAGGAGGTAAGCTGGCCTGCTGACATGGATTTGAACCTTCAGTCTTCCATAAAAGAATGGGTGAATGGCTTGCCTGCTGACATGGATTTTAGCTACCAATGATGAGATTTGTGAGTGAGCCTGGTATCCAGGCTCCTGCAGTTTGGATTCCAACCACTTATTATGCATTTGGTAAGGGTGGGTAGATGGACGTGCTTATTCGGTTAGGGTGGGTAGATGGACGTGCTTATTCGGTTAGGGTGGGTAGATGGACGTGCTTATTCGGTAGTAGTTTCTCACTGCACTGTTTCACTTTACGTGACGTGTTTTACTTTACGTGACGTGTTTTACTTTACGTGACGTGTTTTACACAAACAGTCGTTGCTGTTTTCCCTATCTCACCCACCCTATATTCCTATCACCTTTAGTTTCATATTTTCCTCTCCTCACCTCAACATGACGTGGCAATTATTGGTGTGGTTGGCATGGGATGGCATGGCAGGAGGCAGAGGCTGCAGAGTATGCAATGGCGGGAGAGATGGAAGACGTTTAAATGTGTGATGTGAAATATATGCAATTGTTCTACATGTATGTATGTTATTGACACCACAGGAAGCAGAGGATGCGGAGTATGTGAAAGAGGGCGAGATGGAAAAAAAAAATCAAATGTGTGAAACATCCATGAATGTATGTTAATGACACCACAGGAAGCAGAGGATGCAGAGTACGCAATGGAGGGCGAGATGGAAGACGTTTTTGACAGCGACTTTGATGATGACGTGAGCATGATGGCATGGTGGGATGATGGCATGGTGGGATGATGGATATGTATGGTGGGTGAGTGGCATGATGACGTGAGCACGATGGCATGATGGGATGATGGGCATGATGACGTGAGCATGAAGGGAGGATGGGCATGGTGGGATGCTGGAATGGTGCATGGTGCTTGTATGGATGATGGGATGAGTCTTTTTTCCGTAGCCACCACCACACCACGCATTGCAGACCGACATACTTGTCGTGTCATAGTGGATTTCTCTTTCTGCCAGCCACATTGTGCAAACATGTGCTCCCTTGCATGATCAGATCAGATCAGCCTCTGTTACCTTTCAAAGGAAACCCTCTTTCTCGGACACACCTCTCTGTCACGCCTGTATTATTTTTGAGGCGCCTCAAAAGTCACACCTGTATTATCTCACCTCGTTCTCTCTGATCCCCCCATCTGTGTGCTTGGCTTGGCAGGAGCCGGACAACGAGGAGGAGGAAGCTGGCGCAGAAGTGAAAGAGAGGTTTGGGCTTTCTCCTCTTTCTCCTCTTTCTCCTCTTTCTCTTCTCTAATTTCTCGTCTCCTCGTCTCTTTCCTCGTCCCGTTCATCATGTTTCGCACCTCCTCTTGACTCGTGGCTTTCTCCTCTTTCTCCTCATCCTCTTTCACCCTCGCCCCTCCTGCCCCACCTGCTCCACCTGCCCAACCTGCCCCACCAGACCCACCAAGCGCCGCCTCCTGCCCCCAGGCACCAAGAAGAAGCCAAAAAAACCCACCAAGGCAGCAAAAAAGGGCGCGGGGGGAAAGAAACCTCCAACAGAGAAGGGGAAAGCGAGCGAGAGGGTTGGCGAGGAGGCAGCGGGTGATTGGCTGGAGGGAGAGAAGGGGAAGAGTAAAGATGGGAAGAAGAGTGGCGTGGGAAAGAGCAGGCAGAGACGTGAGCTGGCTCTGCTGGGAGTGGGGCGAGGGAAACGGGAAGGGGAGGCGGGAGGTGGGGGAGAGGAGAGGGAGAGGGGAGAGGAGGGGGAGGAGCTGATTGGTGATGCTACAGTAGATCTGACTGAAGAGAACCGGGGAGCAGGAGGAGGGAGGGAGGGAGGCGGGAGGGAGGGAGGGAGGAAGGGGGGAGGGAGGAGGGATGGAGAGGAGGAAATCGAGGAGGACAGCGGTGGTGGTGAGGGACATGGAGCGGCAGATGCTGAGGGCTGCGAGGGAAGGGGCGCCCAAGGCGGTGAGGAAGAGGAAGGAGGGCGAGAGACGGTGGACACAGGAGGAGATGCTTCTGGAGGCGGCACAGACAGGTGTGCTACAAGTTTGAGTGATTTTCTGTGAGTCGAGGGCATGGGTGAGGGCATGGGTGAGGGCGTGGGTGAGGGCATGGGTGAGGGCGTGGGTGAGGGCATGGGTGAGGGCGTGGGTGAGGGCGTGGGTGAGGGCATGGGTGAGGGCGTGGGTGAGGGCATGGGTGAGGGCGTGGGTGAGGGCATGGGTGAGGGCGTGGGTGAGGGCGTGGGTGAGGGCATGGTGAGGGCGTGGGTGAGGGCATGGGTGAGGGCGTGGGTGAGGGCGTGGGTGAGGGCATGGGTGAGGGCGTGGGTGAGGGCGTGGGTGAGGGCATGGGTGAGGGCGTGGGTGAGGGCGTGGGTGAGGGCGTGGGTGAGGGCATGGGTGAGGGCGTGGGTGAGGGCATGGGTGAGGGCGTGGGTGAGGGCGTGGGTGAGGGCGTGGGTGAGGGCGTGGGTGAGGGCGTGGGTGAGGGCATGGGTGAGGGCGTGGGTGAGGGCGTGGGTGAGGGCGTGGGTGAGGGCGTGGGTGAGGGCGTGGGTGAGGGCATGGGTGAGGGCATGGGGGAGGGCATGGGGGATGGCATGGGGGAGGGCTGTCTGTCAGGTAGAGAGACTCGAGAGGAGGAGGTCACGAAAGTCAACGAGGAGGGGAGCGGTGGTGGTGCGGGACATGGGGAGGGGAAGCAGGCTCTGAGGGCAACAGTGGGAGGTGTTGCTGAAGAGGAAGGCCGTCGTGGAAAAGAGAATCGTTGGTGGGCCCTCCTCATCTCCAAATCCAATCCACCCTATTCTCTCTGGTGCCTGATGCAGATATTTTGAACTGAGAGGCACTGGCAGTGATGCTTTTGAGACGTCTCAAAAACACCCTCTCTACACGTGTCCACCCTTTTCTCTCTGGTGCCTGATTTTTGAGAATTCTAAAAAACCGGCCCTCCTCATCTCCGAATCCAATCCACCCTATTCTCGCTGGCGCCTGATGCAGAGATTTTGAACCGAGAGGCACTGGCAGTGATGCTGGCGAGGGAGGAGGAGGTGAAGAGGAAGGCCGTTGTGGAAAAGGCAATCTTCGGCGGGCCACAGATCCGATTCCACTCCAAGGACGGTGAGATCAAATTAAATCGTATCCAAAGAAGACATTTGTGCTATTGGAAGAAAAAGGGGGGGATTTGGTGGGCCCGTGATTAGAATTCACGTCATTTTACTCCAAGCCTGTTCCACACGTCAATCCAGTCTTCTTCTCAATTTCCCTATCCCATTACTCCTCCCTTGCGACTGACCCCCTCCCCATTACTTCCTCCCCACGACCGCGCCCCCCTCCGACCTTCCTATAACTCCTACACAGGCAAGAATGTCCTTGAATTTACCAAAGTTGCGGCTGTTCCTCCAGAGATCAACGCAAAAGCCCCTCCCTGTATGTCCTCAGCTTCTGTTCCTTCGGTACCTTTTCCTTGTCAACGTTTTTTAGAAACTCCCTAAATGCGCATTCACATATGCTCACGCTCACACCTTTCCAAAATCAGCCGTATGATGCCTTTAACTCGCAATGCAATGTTTCACATGTTTATGTTGCCTTACAGCGGTCCCTCACACCACTGAGCTTGCTTCCCATCCCATTACCTCCCACCGTTCTTCTGTGAACCTCCCCAACCTTTTGCCCTTCATTTTTGTCCCTCCTCCATCTTCCTGCAGACCCTGCCAAGCTTACTTGTGTGATCACAGGTTTACCAGCAAAGTAAGTTTCCACTGCTCTTCTCTACACCACCTCCCACTGTTTTTTTTTTTACAAAATGACTGGACCAGCATTATTCAAAATAGTGGCATTTTTTACAAACATATCACTTACCAGCAAACCGGTTTTCCCAATGTTCTTCTGCTGTTGTGACTTGACTTTTCAGGTACCGAGACCCACTCACAGGCCAGCCGTACGCCACGATCGAGGCCTTCAAAGTCATTCGGCAAAGGTCAGTAACTCCCTTGCCTTTCTGCCTTTCTTTCTCTTCCATGCGATGCTCCTTGCCAGTCCTTCCTGTCTCCGTTCCTCCTTTGCTTTGTTGCTGAGCTGATGCCTTGATGCAATCCCAGCCAGGAACCACCAGCACATGCTGCTATCAACCCCTATGCTCATCCCTCATTCTCCATTCCTCCTTTGCTCTGCTGCTGCGTTCCTTGTTCTGCTGGTGCCAGGTGGCAGGAGGAGCAGGCCACAAAGAAGAGGCTGAGGTAAGCAGCAAAGGCGGAGGCGAGAAAGAGGGCAGGGGCAGGAATAGGAGGATCATACGATATACCTCATTCTCCATTCCTCTTGCTTTGCTGCTCCGCTCCTTGCTCTGCTGGTGCCAGGTGGCAGGAGGAGCAAGCCACAAAGAAGAGGCTGAGGAAAGCAGCAAAGGCGGAGGCGAGAAAGAGGGCAGAGGCAGGCATGGAAGGGAAGGCAGCAGTTGCAGAATTACATCAGTCACAACACGGTTTACAACATGGGTCACAACATGGGTCACGGCATGGGACACGGCATGGGTCACGGCGTGGGACACAGGATGGATATGATACACAATTGGGGAGCCAGCAATTGACCACTAGCAAAGGACAAGATATGTTGGGTTTGCCTGCTGCTGGTGTTCATGCTCCTGCTCGGATCCCAGTAAATAGTCACAGAACAAGCTTGTAAACAAGCATACAATGATATGTTGTTTTATATGCAGCTGTTGTGCCGGGTCATATCATGCTAAACAGTGGAATGTTTGAACTACTGAAATCATTTATTACAGCACACGCAAGCATGTGCGCACATCTACAGTGAACAACACAAACACACAAAAAAGAAACACGATAATTCACACCTAGAAAATAATCAAACAAGACCACAAATCCCTTTTAACACCAATTAAAGAAGATACTTCGGAAAGAAAACTGACAGAAAGCAGAGCGCATGCATGGCATGCGCAGTTGGAAGAGGAGATCGCAATCATCCATTCCATTGCTTATTATGAGATTATATCCAGCAGCAGCAGAAGCAGCAGCAGCAAGGGCTGGTATACTCGCCCTCAGCAGCAGCAGCACATACCCTCACACTTTCTCCCGAAGCAGCAGATCCAGGCTCACTTTACTAGACCTCTCAAGGCGGGAGGATGGAGGAAGAGGGAAGGGAGGCGGGGAATGGGGAGGAGCGGCTTGTTGGCAGTTCTCCATAATTCCACTGACACCCTCTTCTGGCTGTGGAACGTGGTTCTCTGGCCTTGATAAGTCATGATGTTGTTCTGGTTGCGATAAGTGCTGCTCGGGCTGCGATAAGCCATGGTCCCGCCTCGATAAGTCGTGGTTCAAATCGAAGAGATCCAGCAAGGCGTGAAGAACAGCTGACGCGGACTGCTTATCACAGAGAGAAAGGCCGCGTGAGAGGGCGTTTGGGTGAGTGTGTGGGGGGAGGAGGGAGGTTTGGGAACGGAAAAAACCAGGCTCGGAAACGTGAGTCTGGTTTGGAAAGGCCGAGGGCCCAGGTATGTGGGAAGAGAGGTCGGAGTTGTGATGGGGATAGAGAGGGGTGCCAGTGTTTCCGGGATAGTGAGGGGTGGTGGTGGAGTTCCCCGGATAGAGAGGGGTGATAGCCCCATATATGTGCTTCACTTCTGCAGAGTCTAGTGAGTCCACTCTCTGCTGCCCTTTACCGTTGCCTGTATGGGTACACCCGTTAGTAGCAGGTCCGTTTACAGCACATCCGTTTGTAGCACATTCGTTTGTAGCATGCCCCTCTGTAGCATGGTCACCTGCATGGTGGATCCCCTCGCTCTCACAGCCTGTCAGGGCTTGATCGCCAGCAAGGCTCTGTGACTCAACCACAGCAGAAGCTGCAGCATCAGCAGCAACAGCAGGCGCATCAGCAGATGCAGGAGCCTGCACTGTGACAGTCGGAGATCCTAGCGGAGATCCTTGTAATGGGGATGTAATTAAAGGAGAAGACCCTAAAGGGGATGCTGTAGATGCGCCATTGCTGTTGTTGTGCCCCATCCACCAGTCCTTGCCCTCCCCGTGCGCCAACGCCAGAGCAGCAGGAGCATCAGGGGACGAGGGATGAGGGGGAGATGTAGCAGGAGCGGTAGGAGCAGCAGGAGAGGCAGGAGCAGTAGGAACAGCAGGGGGAACAGGAGAAGCAGGATGAGAGGCAGAAGTGGGAACGGTGGGAGCGGAAACAGCAGCTGTGGAAGCTGGTGCAGTCATAACAGGTGCCGTTGCAGCTGTTGCTGGTGCTGCTACAGCTGCTCCTGCTGCTGTTGCTGGAACAGCTGGTGCTGCTTTTGCTGATGCCACAAGCACCTGTGAGGGACATGACAGCCCACGCAGAGCACCTGCTGTCATCCCACCAGATTCTCCGGCCATCCCACTGCCATGTGCTGACATGCCCCCATCAGAACCTGGTGCTGCCATCCCTGTAGGTGCTGTGAGCGCTGTAGGCAGTGATAGGCCGGAACAAGGCGGTATGAGGTTAGAACTAGTTGGTGTGAACGCTGAAAGACCAGCTGCAGTGAAACCACCACTGCGGCCAGTGAACCCCGAGAGATCGACTCCAGCCATCCCATGGCTCCCCTTTCTGTCTATCCCCATTCCACCTGACATCCCAACCCCTCCCATCCCACTGAACGTCATCGATTGATGCATGTTGCTGCTGCTGCTGCTGCTGCCACTGCTGCTGCTGTTGCTGTTGGTACTGATGCTGCTGCTGCTGCAAGCTCAGCTGTCGCTGCAAGCCCACCTGTGGTTGCATGCTAAGGTGACGTGGCAGATATGGATTGGCTGGCAGCTGCAGAGGAGGAGCAAGGCCGGCCAACCAGGATGAGCAACTAACATCGGCAGCTGCCAGGAAACTTCCGCTGCCGCTGCTGCTAATGCCATGAAAAGAATTGGCAGCAGCGGGTACTGGTGCGTTGCTAGCAGCAGTATAGTTACTTTTGGTGGTGGGAGGAGGAGGATTACTGGGAGACAGCAGGACACTACCTGACAGGAGGGACTGGTGGGACAGCAAAGGCGCAGCGCTACCAGACAAGAGAGCGCTGCTTGCTCTGTTGAATTCACCTGACCAGTCACCTGACATGGCACCTGACCACGGGAGGTGGTGGAACTGCGGGATCTGGGGGTACTGCCTGAGGAAGGCGTCATCCAGGGAGGCGGAGACACCCAGAGGAGGGAGATGGGGAGCAGACGGGCGGAGTGATGTAGCAGCTGCAGCAGCTGCAGCCGCTGTAGCAGCAGCAGAAGCTGTGGCAGCTGCAGCAGCTGAAGTGCTGGTGCTTGGAGGAACGATGGGGGAGTTGCTGGGTGCGGTGGTGCTAGGAGTGATGTTTTGAGAAGGCACCAATACCACATCAATATCCATGGGAGAAGGCTGGGGCTGCAGGCTTGGCTGCACTCTGCCACTGCCGGTGCAGGGAAAAGCAGCTGGAGCCGAATGGTCGGCCTGCCTTGGCTTCTTGCGCCCATCCACCCCCCCTGCCCGCTCCTGCTCCTTTGCTTGCTCCTGCTGTGTGAGTTGATGGCCCTGCTGCCTGTTGTTGTGCCAGCCGTTGTGTATCTCTGGAGGCAGCATCAGCTGCTGCTGCTGCTGCTGCTGCACCTGAAACTGCTGGTGCTGCAGCATCAACATCTCCTGCTGCTGCTGCCTCTGCTGCTGCGTCTGCCACTGAGGCTCCTCCTGCTGCTGAACGAACAACATGCCAGACCGAATGCTAGGCTCAGACTGCACCCTCCTGTGCTGCTCCACCCCACTGCTCCTCGCCTCAATACCACTGCTTGCATGTTGCGCCACGTCGAAAACCCGCGGCTCGAAAGCGCTGGTAATGTGGTGCAGAACGGTGGAGTGCGCTTGGATTGCCCTCTGCTGCTGCAGGCGCTGTGCCATAAGGTTGAACTCGCGAATGTCATCTGCGTACTGTGCACAAGAGAAAAAACACACGAAGGAATGGAGAAGAACACAGCCTTTCAACAAGGAGGCCCAGACGCATGTGCTGCTGCCTCATGAGGTTGAAGTCACGAATGTCATCCGCGTACTGTGCAACAAGGGTATAAATGAGAAGGAACAGGTTTGTTAGTAAGCTGTTTGAACCGACGACGATACAGGAGCATGGTGAAAGAAAGCAAGAAAAGGATGATGGCTCAGCCACAGCATAGGAACAGAAAAGAGTAAGGCTTTGGCATCCTCATACTTGTGAAATGATTACGTAAAACCCTGTATAAAACTCATGCCTAAAGCACATGCAAAAGAGAAGACACATGCTCAAGACGCACTTACCATGGCCAGATCAAAGTTGGTGACTGCCTGCTGACCTCTCTGCCTGTAAATCATCCATCACAGCGACAGGGAGGAAGAGAGAGAGGAGGGGAGTGAGAGGCGAGGAGGGCATAACATTCACATTCCCAAAAGACAGGCCGTAGAGGATTCATAGGAAGTACGTGGCTGGCAGTGAATGGGGAACTCACCTCACAGCAGCCCTGTCATAAGCTATGGCAGCCTGCTCCTGAGTGTTTAACAGCCTAAGGTAGCCCCACTAGCTAGCTCTACACAAGCGCATGGGAGCATGGTTACCACAGAGGGAGTCTCACCTCACAGCAGCCCTGTCATAAGCTATGGCAGCCTGCTCCTGAGTGTTTAACAGCCTAAAGTAGCCCCACTAGCTAGCTCTACACAAGCGCATGGGAGCATGGTTACCACAGAGGGAGTCTCACCTCACAGCAGCCCTGTCGTACGCCATAGCAGCTTGCTCCTGAGTGTCGAACAACCCCAGGTAGTCCCTCCCAGTACCCCACCCTCAGGTCCCTCTAGGAATCCTCTACGAGTACATGTTGGCTGGCAATAACCGAGAGAGTCTCACCTCACAGCAGCCCTGTCGTACGCCATAGCAGCTTGCTCCTGAGTGTCGAACAACCCCAGGTAGTCGTATCGCTTGCCCTCCACATGGCCGATCCTCGCCTCCCATCGACCCTGCGAATGGGAGAGAGACAGGAGGAGAGAAAGGATGGGAGAGAGAGGGGGGGGGAGGTGATCAAACAGGCCTAACCCAGGTAATCATATCGCTTGCCCTCCACATGGCCTATCCTCGCCTCCCATCGACCCTGCGAATGGGAGAGAGACAGGAGGAGAGAAGGGATGGGAGAGAGAGGGGGGGGGAGGTGATCAAACAGGCCCAGCCCAGGTAATCATATCGCTTGCCCTCCACATGGCCTATCCTCGCCTCCCATCGACCCCCTGAGATTGAGGGAAAAAATCGGCGAGAGGGGGAAAAAGGGAGAGAGGGAGGAGCGAGGCCTGAAACATGCTGAAGCTCCTGCTGAGACGATTTTTGAGGCGCCTCAAAAAACATGCTGAAGCTCCTGCTGAGACGATTTTTGAGGCGCCTCAAAAAACATGCTGAAGCTCCTGCTGAGACGATTTATGAGGCGCCTCAAAAAACATGCTGAAGCTCCTGCTGAGACGATTTTTGAGGCGCCTCAAAAAATATGCTGAAGCTCCTGCTCCCTCGCACCCTTCTTCCAACCTCGCCTTACCTTCTGTCCCGATTTTGAGTCAAATCGCTAAATCTTTCCACCTCGCTCTACCTTCTGCGCAATGCTTTTGACACCAGCTGCCCCGCTCGCCCTACCTTCTGGTGTTTGGTCACCCCTCGGTACTTGGACGTCCCTCGAGCAAAGCCCTTGCTGTGACGCCGCAGCAGCAAAATCAGTTCCTCCTTAGGAACGGCCTCTGGAGGACACAAAATGGGGAAACGGGGGTGAACAGGAGGATGTGAGTGTGGTGCCACAACAGAAGCACGGTGAACGAAGGATATGGAAGTCATACAGAACAGCCTCTGCCAGTGGTGCAGCAGCAGCAGAATGAGCTCCTCCTGCAGAACAGCCTCTTGGTGTGGTGGCAGGGAGCAAGAAAGTTGAGATGACCCAGACGAAATACTCACCTATTTCCTTGGTGTATTTGGTATACTCCTCAGGCGGGAGGTTTGTCTGTGCGTCCTCGCCCCTGCACACATGACACACAGCACAGCATGAGTATGCGTTATACTAGCATGTGTCAGGACGTGTCGGCACGTGTCAGGACATGTTGCCTGATATGGTGTCACCTCCCCATCTACTCTAATATGGCGTCCTCACCTCATCTTGAGTGCAGCTATGTCGTACATCAGGGCTGCCTGCTTCTCGGAATCAAATCCCCCCAGATACACCTGCCGCCCCTCCTCCCTGCCCACAATCCCACATGGCCAATTGTCACACAGGGGAACACACAAGGGGACACACAAAGAGAGAAACAAGAATATGAAGCGGTCTGAACAGGAAGCCTCTGGACCTGGACGTGCCATTGAACCACCCATGCACGCCACATGTGTGCATGCTTCACCTTGCCACACCACAGTGACAGCTCACCAGATATGAGCCTCCCACCGCCCTGTGCGGCAGTGGTGAGTCACCCCTCTGAACTTGGACGTGCTGCTGGCCGGCCGCTTTCTCTGCACCACCCGCCTCGCCTTGCCCTTGCCAGTCTCTGCATAAACAAGAACAAGGATAGCAAAGCTTGGGTGAAACGTCCACAGCGCCAGGAGGAAGATTAACAATTCTCAAAATGAGATTAATGCCGGTGGTGGCAGGCGCAAATGCTAGCGCTTTTGCAACCACGCAGAAATCAATCGTGCTAGGATTGGTGTATACCGCGACTGGTGCATACCGCGTTTGAGAGCTGCGGAATCGCTTGGAGGGACGGCTCCTTCACTGCTTGTCACTCTGAAGGCCGTTGGGGGATAGCGGGGAGTAGGGACGGGACGGGAAGAGGAGGGAGAAAACGGTGCCATTTCAAAGGATCCACATGCAAAACACAAGGGCAGGAATTCAATCTCAAGTGGCTTGCACAGGGTCTATTGTGAATCGAACCCCCTCTTAATCTCGACCCACCTCGTAGTCACGAAGTCTCTCTAAAACCCGAGGCCCCCTCTTCCTTCCAAGCCCCTTCTCCCTTGGAACCCCCTCTGCTTACATCTGGCTGTCCTGCCTCGCGATTGAAGACGACTCGCCATCCACACACGAGCTCGCTTGGGGATTTGAATCGACTCAAAAGTCATCTCTGCCCAAGCCCTCTCTTCCTTCCAAGCCCCCTCTATGTTCCAACCCCCCTCTGCTCACATCTGGCTGTCCTGCCTCGCGATTGAAGACGACTCGCCATCCACACACGAGCTCGCCTGGGGCTTCTCAATCTCCGCCTCGATCCGACCAATCAGATCGTCCCACTCCAGCTCCTGAGGCTTCTCAGCCGTTGGATGCGCCAGCAGCATGCCGTGGATCACAGGAACCGTATTGCCAGCTGGCCCCTCTTGGCCTGTGTTATAGCAGGATGGGTTTGACAGGTGCGTGAGAGAGCTGCCGACCCGCTGCAACATGTGTTAATACAATTCAAACAGAACGTTGCAAACCAGGTTCAAGAGGGCGTGAGAGAGCTGCCAATCCGCTGCATCGTGTTACAAGGTAGAGATACATCCATCTAACTCGCACTTACCCTGCTCACTGTAGCCGTTGAGAGGCTCGGGTTGCACGGACTGCAGAATATGGAGTGGCGGTTGAGCCAACACCCTCTGATCGTCTGCCTCCCTTCCGCCACCAACTGAAGTCACACCATCTCTCCTTGTGTCTCCTCCTCCACCTCCACTCCCCCCCCTTCCTCCGCCCATCGCATCAGCTCTATCCAATCCATATCCACCACCACCATTCTCCCATCCTGCTGATCCTCCCTCCATTCCTGTGACTCCCCCTTCCACCAGCTGCTGCTCCGCAGGCTCGTCACAGCTGCAGCTGCTCTCTCTCCCATGCAGATTCCCTTCAATCTCCCCACCCACTATCAAGCCTTGCCCCCCCGCCAAACCTTGGCATGCTGTAAAGCCTTTACCGCCGCCATAGGCTCCTTCCAACAGCGCAGAGTCAGCACGGCCGTTAGTGTTTCCAGCATGACCGTTGGTGTTGTCAGCACAGCCATTCAAGCTGCCAGCATGGCCGTTGGTGTTGTCAGCGCAGCCGTTGATGTTGCCAGCATGGCCGTTAGTGATGGTAGTAGTGTCTCCCAGGATAGAGTTTGGCTCCTCGACGATACTCTCTCCTCTCTGGTGGTTCTGGCTGTGGTTGTGTAGACTCTGGTGGTTATGTTTCATCCCGTGAGCTGGCGAATCGTCCACCATCTCAGGGAGTGTAGAGCTGAACGCATGCCCAGTTCCAAGCACGTAACCACTATCACCACCATCACCACCGCCAGCCACACTACGGCCCTTACCCTTCCCCGCCTCCCCTGCTTCCATTGACGGGTGGAACAAATACTTTCCTACCACCGCCAGCCACCAGATGCGCTTTCTCCGAGGAGAGGGATTGAAATATCGCAACAACTTCCTCCGAGGGAGTTTCTGGGAGAGGAAACTTACGGACACACCTAGATTAGGCAACGAGGGAGGGAGGAAGGCCCGAGATACGTTGCACGATTGACAGCAGAGACAGGACAAGGGACGGCTGGGGCTGGCAAATAGGTCTGAGGGATTCAGCACAGGATTGAACTGGACGAAGCGAGGAAATGTGAGATCCGAGGCCCGAGACTGGCACCTAAAAGGCTGTTAATGACGCATCACGTGCAGCACAGACGCGGCTCACTGCCTCTCAACAAAGGCTTGCCTGGAGACGGACGTACGGCCGCTGGTTAGAGGGACCTTGGGGATCTCCAGGAAACCTTGAAGGACTTTGGGGAATCGACGAATGCTTGAACGAGGGAGGGACCCTGCCTGAATTCTTTCACCTCGGATTGGTTCTCCACCATCGACGAATGAGGGAACGAGGCAGCGGAGATGCAGCAGAAGCAAGGAGCTCGAGGTTAATAGAAAGAGTCCAATAGAAGCAATAGGCAACACGCAAGAGGCAATCGGCAGAACGCAAGAGGCAATAGGCGGGAGGGGAGGCGGCGGCTAATATTGATCAATCGGTTCAATAAACTCGCTCGGACCGCGTCGATGATCTCCGAATAGAGCAAATCCACGGTCACAATTGAGAAACGTCACAGCGACTGAGAAGCACCAAGACCGACCCAGGCGCTCGATGCATCTCGACGTGCGTCAGGAACCTTCCCGTGTCCTTCCGAAGAAGGAAAAACCAGCGATGCAAGGGCAATGCAGGCATGCCGCCCGTCTATGCACTCCCAGGCACGGAATCCCGAAGCCAGGTGCGTGAAGCGAGCGGAGAGCGCGCAACGTGGCTGCATGCAGGCGCACGCACGTGAGCCCCGCGCCTTGTTGTACTCGAGACACTCGGAACTGGAAAACTTGGAATTGAGAAGCTCGTTAACGGGAAACTTCGAGTCGAGATTGGGATCTCCGTCCATTGCCGTTCCCCGCACGAGGAACCTTCGTCCAATCAGGAAACCTCGACCGATTACGGTCCGTACGGTCAGGGAGAAGGCTTCCTGACGACCGGCTAGTTGGACGGCTGACGTCAAGTCCGACCGGAGGACGACAGTGCCAGCCGGAACTGACGGTGTGGTAGGTGTGGTAGCTGTGGTTGGTGTAGCCTCGACTGCTCAACTGTAACTCTCGCTGTAACTCTCTCTGTAATTCGCATCGACCTCCCGGCATGCACGCGTCGAATCGAGAGCAGCGGGTTTCTCGCGGCTGATCGCTAGATGGAAGCCTCGGAGGTGTCGATAGGAGGGCGCTTGAGCGATGGCTACAGCTGGGGGAAGCGACAACTCGGGAAGCCGAATTAGCTGGCGTCATGGCGTCAGCTGGCTCGCACGCGTACTAAACGCAAGCTGCGGTATTTTGTTAAAACACGAGGCGAATAAAATATCTTCTTAGCTGCCGACTCGATTAGGGAACCGCGTTGAGAACTAGGTGAGCTGGAATTCTGACAAGAAATCACTGAATCGTCGTGCGCGAAACTGGAATTCCAGTATGGCCTGCACAGGACATAGAATGGCCTGCGTCTGTAATACTATATGCAGTGCAATACTAATTCAGTAGGCTCAATTAGCAGATCTTGCTGCAAGGCGTGAATAAACGGACTGGAGAATCGGTAGGTGACCGTTGAAAAGGGGGATCTCATCCCCAATTCTCACCGTACACGTGTCTGATTATCACGCAGCCTCATCTTTCGCACGATCTCGTTTTTCAAATCCCGAGACTTGCTCATCCACATGGCGCAATCATCGGGCCTCAGTGCGGCACGGCGGACTTCTCGAGGACCAATTTGGAGGACCCAGGAAAATGGAAAATGGAAGCGCTATATGAATAGTGAGCACCGAAATGTGCTGGAGCCTCCAATCAGCATTTGGCACTTGGCAACAAGAGAGAGCGGTTGACTCTTGTGAAGTTCCCATGGTTCGAAAAGGGGAAGCATTTTCTTTTGAAGGAGCTCCGTTGCAGATTGTAGAAATTTGAACTGACTTGGAGTTCTACGCTGTTATGGCTTCTGATAAATTTTTACCAGGATTCAACAGGCATATCTCACAATGGCAGCCACCGTGAGCAGAAGCTAGCAACCAACCAAGCTTTAGACGTACTCAGTGGCCTGCTCGTATTTGTGTTGAAGCAGGCAACATTGATACAAATTGTATCATACCGTACTAGCACAATTTTAACTACCGGTACTGCCCCCATACATCTCCTTCAGCTCATCTGGTGGTTCGTACATAATGCCATTCAATGTGTTGTTCAAATCTAGACTGTAGACGTGACTGACTGTGTCAAAGGTCCTCTGAAGTGGATGACAAACAAGGGGGGTCAGAGGAGGCAGGGGAGAGTTGACATGAGGGAACAGAAACAGCATACGACAAGATTACGATTTTTTTATCAAGAGAGCAAATCACCATATCCCACAGAGCATACCTTATCCTGCCTTGCGGGCATCCAAGATCCACCACCGTACCTTACTGGCAAGCGCATCTCTCATGTGGCCACTAGACTTGGTTTTGGGAGGTCTCAAAACCAAAGTGATTTTCACACACAGACAGGGTATCCCTGCCTCCCTGCCAACCAACAGCATACCTTGTCGGCGAACATACGTCTCATGTGCCCCCTGGACTTGGTTTTGTAAACAATGGCGTACCTTATTGGCAAACGCATCACTCAAGCGACCTCGCGACTTGGTCTTCTGAAGCTTCTTCCCGAAGCTGAAAGCGTCGCCAGGCTCCCTCCCAAACTGCCTCATCAGAGCCATCTCATCCTCACCCATGCTCTCAAACCTGTCATACTTGCCACAGTCCAAATTCCAATGCACCACCCCTGTCCACCTGGTAACAAAGGGCATACCTTGTTGGCAAACGCATCACTCAGCAGCATACCTTATTGGCAAACGCATCGCTCAAGCGACCTCGGGACTTGGTCTTCTGAAGCTTCTTCCCGAAGCTGAAAGCATCCCCAGGCTCCCTCCCGAACCGCCGCATCAGCGTCATCACATCCTCATCCATGCTCTCAAACCTCCCCACAAAGTCATACTTTATCCGGTCCAACGCACACAGCAGCGTCTGCGGCACTATGTGCACATCCAGGTGAAACCGGCCCTCTATCTCCCACGCCTCTCCCAGGTACCCCACGAATTCATCAAAGGTGATTCGAAACCCCGTCCGCAGCTGAATTATTTCCCAGATGCTCCGCAGCCGGGCAGTTCCGGGGCCCGACCGGAACGTCATAGCATCCCATAACGAGTGCGTGATCAGCTGCCCGAAAAAAGTCTGTGCCCAGAACCCTGCCCCGAGATCGTCTGGGCCGCCCCCGCGAAGCATCTTGTCCAGATACGCCGACAAAACGCGGGTGTAGGGGTTTCGGAGGAAGACGAAACGAGTGAAGTCCCGGCGGGTGAGAGCGCGAATGGCGTGTGGCTCGGTTAAGGAGTACCAGACGGCAGTGACGTTGGTGAAATGGGCGGTGTGGGCGGAGAGGAAGGACTTGGGGAAGGGGTGGTGGTGCTGCTCGCGCATCCAGAACTTCCAGCTCGTGCACCCCGCCTTCTGCACGTAACAGTACACCATGCCCACGTCCTCTGGTGGCGGAGGGACAGGGAGGGGCACGGAAGGGAGGGAAAGGAAGGGAAGGGCGTGAGGAGGTGAAGCAGCTAGAGATTGCTCCCTACGCCAGACCCTCAGCCCGAACTTCCAGCTCGTACACCCGCCTTCTGCACGTAGCAATACACCACGCCCACGTCCTCTGGTGGGAGAGGGGAGGTGAGGGGAGGGGAGGGGAGGAAAAGGAAGCGAAGGGAGTGAGGAGCTGACACAGGACAGTAGGTGCACTGGATAATCCCTGAAGCCAGAACTTCCAGCTCGTGCACCCCGCCTTCTGCACGTAGCAGTACACCATGTCAAGGAAAGGAAGGGAAGGGAGGGGGAAGGGGGGGGAACAAGACTGGCAGGACTCGCTGGGGGGAGGGAGGGGGAAGGGGGGGGGGAAGAGCGGGAACGGGGAGAGGGGATGAAGAGATGGGCGAGGGGAGGGGGAGGGGCTCGTCGAAGCACTGATCTGGGTCCTTGCTGAATGGCAACACTCGCTGGTGGGGGGAAGGGAGGGGGGATGGGAAGAAAGATAGGGGGAGAGGAGGGGGATAGGGAGGGAGAGAGGAGAAAGCACTGGGACATGGGGGGATGGCAATCACAACAAGGCTAGCATGTGGAGAATAGGCCCACTATGTGATCACTTCTGAGAACTCCACAACCGGGCTCGGCAGGGTCACGTACCATCCACAACGAGCTCGGCAGGGCCACGTACCATTGACGATGAGTTGCCTTCCAATGCGGTGCTCTGTGACAGGCAGTATCCTCGGCGCATCACACAGCCAGCAGTGGGGAAGGGAGGTTTGACAGTGCAACATACCATCCACAACCGGGCTCGGCAGGGCAACATACCATCCACAACCGGGCTCGGCAAGGCAACATACCATCCACAACCGGGCTCGGCAGGGCCACGTACCATCGACAATCAGTTGCCTTCCAATGCGGTGCTCTGTCACAGGCAGTATCCTCGGCGCATCACACAGCCCCCTCTCCTCCTCAAACACTCTCCCCTCTCCGCCCTCCTTCCCCGCACTCCCCTTATCCCCCCCTATCCCTGGTGGCGCTTCCCCCCGCGGGAAGCTCTCAGGCGCCACCAGCACATCGTGCATGCGGGGGGAGCTGCCCCTGGCGGAGGCCTGCGCGCGGATGAGGTCCGCCTGGGGGGAGTGCTGCAGGTGAATGAGCCCCTGGGCGGATGCGAGAGTGAATAGCTCCGCTGCTTCTAGTTGTGCGCATTCTACCCATGCTGCTGCTTCGTCTGATGCTGCTTCTGCTGTTGTTGATGCCGATTCTGCTGTGGCTGATGATGCTTCTGCTGTGGCTGATACTGCTGCTCCTTCATCTGAAACTGTTGCTGCTGCGTCTGATACTGCTTCCGCTGCAGCTGATAGTGATGGTAGGGATGCTAATGCTCCTGATTCCCGCTCTGGGTATGCTTGGACTTCCAGCCTAAGCCTCCTCCAACTGCTGCTGCTACCGCTCTCTACACTACCAGACAAGAGCAGCCGCCGTGTGCCACCAGCCGACTCGTCAGTCCCATTCGCCCCTCCTCCTCGCCCTTCTACTCCAACTTTTCCTCCCACTTTCCCTCCCACTTCCGCTCGTGCTCCTCCTCCCAACCCCCCTGTACCTGTGGTGTAGTAATCTCTACCGTCTGCCAGTCCAAGCCACCACATCCACTTGGCCGTCTGCTGCCTCACAGTAAGCCCGGGTGGGATGATAGGCGGAGCTACATAGCCACCCCCTATGCGGTTACCACCTCCCATGCGGTTACCATTATCCCCCATGCGGTTACTGTTGGCTTTGCGGTTACCGCCCTCACATTGCTGCGCACGGCGTCGTGTGGATTCTAGCAAATGCGGCTGGCGGTTCTTGTGGAAAGTTTCTGCCACGGCTACAGCCTGAGACGGCCAGAAACCCACGACTGTAGCATCTCCTTCAGGCTGCCCGAGAAAAAACCACATGAGGCGGCGTGTCGTGCAGTTGACCGCGAATTTAGGGTTGCAGCTTGAGCAAGGGTATGAGGAGGGGAGGGAGAGGGAGATTGGCTCCACGTACACAGCTGTGCTCTGCTGGACACGTGTCATGTTCTCCTTGGCTATCAGCTCCTGCACGGCTGTGGACGGCTGTAGCAGGCTGTAGCAGCGCTGCAGAGAAGTGTGGAGCTGCGAGCCGTCCACGTCAGCAAGGGCGGCGGCCATGGGAGGGAGAGAGGCGGAGAGGAAGAAATTGACGTGCAGGCGGCGAGAAGGGTGGGAGGCGGAGGATGGCGACGAGGAAGAGGAAGAGGAGTTTACAGGCTGTTGCTCTTGCTGCTGTTGCTGCAACTGCTCTTGGGAGATTGGTTGAGGGATCTTCGAGTTGAGGGTCTGTTGAGACACGCAGGAGAAGCAATCAGGTGGAAGACACGTGATGAACACACACACAAAAAAAAACCACAGATACACACATCACTGTAAGAAAGGAGAGAAACAATGAACACATGATTGCACATTTCAACGTGCCTCTTTTGAAACGCATACCCCATAGGTGTAAAGCGGCGAGCTGAGCCAACTGGGTTGATGCAGCAGCACCAGAGTCTCATCAGCCGAGTCAGCTGGACCCGGGGACGATTCCTTCTGCTGCTGCCCGTCGTTTTGCTGCTGAGAGCCTTGCGGAGAGGAGAGCGCGCTGGGGCGAGGCAGAGGCCCGAGGACGTGGTTCAGCGTGGCGTGCGGCATGGCTGAATCTGGTAGCCACAGCACGGCCAGCCGTAACGGCGCTTGCTCTACTTCTTCTGTCGTATGTGATTCTTGCGATCCTTGTGAGGAGCTGCTGGGTTCGACGGGGGAGAGCTTGGACGATAAGAGTTGGTGCAGCGCATATCCCGCACACACCGCTTCCATCCGCTCGTGAAGCAGACCCTGAGAGTGGAAGAGTCAATGAGAGACTGGTGAGCCTATGAGTCACATTTGAGAACACATTGTCAATTCCACACCGCAGGGATTTACCCGCACACACCGCCTCCAGCCGCTTGTGAAGCAGACTCTGAGAGGAAGAAAGAGACCGGGTAATTATCGATGCAATAACAAGTACGAGCAACATCTTGCATCGAAATAACCTTGTCGTCAGCAGGGCTTTGTGTATAATTTTCGGTAGATTCAATCGAGAAATTGTCTCATCACATTCCCAACCAAAACATTCAAAGTCGTGGAGGAAAAGTGGCGCATTCCCAACAAGAATTGAGGACGAACCTTGGCCCAGACAACGACGTCTGGATGAGGAATGGCGTTGCTCACGCTCCAATTCTCCTCATTCAGTCCATGTCCTATTCTCCCCGGCAAAACCGGTCGAGATAAAAACGAAACCGTTGTGCTGTCTTCTGTGCCGGTCATCCGAGATTCCCGGATGACGAGAACAACGCTAACGAATGTAACTAAAAGTAGCCATTTCGACGTTCTTTGCCACCACGACCCGTTCTTCGAGCTCATGCGTGAGAATACAGACCTATCAATACAAAGAAAGCTTCTGTAGCTGCCTCGTGCACTAAACGTCCAAAACGGATTCTTGCTCATGTTAGGACTGACCGTCACGTTCTGTTTCCTCGTAGGAACGGCATTCGCCATCATGCGAACCTGAACTTTGCCGACCGGCTCTGTCGGACAGAACTCGTATCAGCCAACGCGATCAATCTTGCGGGGTACAATTTTATCCCTATCCTGACAACTCCAACAGCTATCCGCCGTACGCACCACAAAACTGCTCGTCAGCACTGCTTACTGAACTTCACTCGGGCCCAAGAGAACGGCGGTGTTGCGAAGTCCAGACCCAACGACCATGAAACACATTCAGGGATTCGGGTCAATTGAAATTTCCTCTACCTCCCCAGCTTTTATCAGGCCGCATCGCAGCCGTATAACGACGTGTTGCAACCTACCCGGGTCGGGTCGACCGCCCCCCGATCCCGAATTTCCAAGAAGCCCGCCATGCCGACCTATCCGACCAGGCCGACCCGACCCAACCCAACCCGGGTTGGGTCGGACTGGGTCGACCCGGGTCGACCAAGTTGGGTAGACCCGGGTCGACCAACCCAACCCCACCGAGCTGGAGCAGGTTACCAGAGCCCGCGAAAACTGTGGTTCTCGCGTGCATGTCGTCTGTATCTCGTCCAACAATTTGATACCCGGTAATATCGCGCACAACAAGTTCGCGACGTGGTGAGGATCGCCAAGCATTGCCCAGACCCCCATCCACCCGCACAGAAGTTGCGCCCCCACGACGACGAATTTGGTTGGAAGGCGATGAGAAATTCTTCGATTTCTCGAGTCGCCTTGCGGTTTGGTTGGGTCGGGTCGGGTCTGCCCGACCACGGTCGACCAGGTCGACCCAACCCGAACCGATCCGGGTGGGTCGCAACACGTCGTAACCAAACCCCGCAAGAATGGTGAGGAGGAGAACAGAGAGAATGGCCCAACCTCGAGGTTTGCGCCACAAAGAAGGGAGGCTTGGCTCAAAGTTGGAGCTCTGGTTTGGTGGCTGGTTCGGTTCGCTTTCAGACCTTCGGTCGCGCCTGCTCGGGAAGCCCAAGGGCGCTTGCCTGACCTGCCCTCTGACAGGTTTCGGCGCAGATCGAATCACCGAGATCCGGTGATAGGGCTGAAGGCCGGCTAGGGATGGCCCTACCCTGGCCGAAATGCTTTCCTTCATTAGGAAGCGCCGAACCGGCTTTCGTTGTCAGAGTAATCTGATTGGCTGAGAAGAGTACTCGATTTTGCAAGTTCATGAATCTTATGACGACTTGATGATTGCTTAAACTCTTTGAAAGAGAATAATAAAGGACAAGCAAAATAAAAAATGTGAGAAGCTTGCATAAATGGGAGTAGAGTTATGGGAAGGAAATATGGCACAATAAATTAAAAATGGAGCAGAGGAGAAAATGTATGAAGCTAACAGAATTATCATTAACACCAAATCCGACACATGCAGCACCTGCATATCCACTAAGTGTAGAGCATCCATCCATCCATGTAGCGCCCCACTCAGCCAATTAACCCCTGAGCCACTTCAGTTTAATGAAACAAAATGAGAGGTTGGAATGAGAGGGTGAGAGAATAGGGATGATGCATGCATATTGGAGATCTGATGAGGCGCCAAACCTGTACTTTACGAATCTGGGGAAAGTTCCAACCAGCCTGGAAAATTCTACAAAACCAACCCTGGAAATGTATGAGGTGAGTACAGACCAACCTTTAAATCAAATGCTATGGGTATTTAGGGCACATCTTATAAAGGCTTGCTGAGGAACATTTCAACCGTTACGCTTTACTCCTTCCAAACGTCCCGCACCTGGTTTAACCATACGAAACCTTATTGAGATAAGACGAAACAAGCAACCGATGACATAAATTCCTTCCTACAAATAAATCCGCTGTTTCTCCTATCTGGTCTCTCTCCTGCACACCCGCAGGGCTCCATTCCAAACCTCCTTGTGCCTTTTTCTTTCCCAGCTTTCACGGCCAGCCTAGATAAGTAGCCTAGACCGCCATAGCAGTCCACCTCCTTAATAACTACGGAGATTTTTTCTGTTTTGATTAAGTACGCTCGGGAAAGATGAGGCCGCAATTGATGAAGGGTCACGAGAGGCCGCTGACGTTCCTCAAGTACAATCGCGACGGCGATCTGCTGTTTTCGTGTGCCAAGGACCACCAGCCCACCGTGTGGTACACGGATAATGGCGAGCGCGTCGGCACGTACAAGGGCCACAACGGAGCCGTGTGGACGTGCGACGTCTCACGTGAGTGCTCGGATAACGAATCTTCGGACTTCCGGTGCTTTTCGCTGATCGTGGGTGTAAAGTGAGGTGTAGCACGACTTTCCGGATAGAGGCGAGAGGGTTGGTGCGAAAACAAAGGACGTAACGAAGCCGTTTCGAGCAGCGATGGCTCTCGTGGGGGATTAGAGAGGCCGTTTTCCATTAGGTATTGTCGATCAGGCCAATGTTTGGACTGAATCTCTCTTGAATGATAAGGTTATTAGACTAGGTAACGTTCCGTGCAAGGTCTAGACGAGCGATCAGGATTGGTTTCGGTTACAGTCTAGATTTCGTTGTGTGTCTGTTACGCCTGTCTCATCGAGGCTTGAAGGAGATTCGTCGATTACGACGGCGCTTATGGCGCTGTGCGGGTTTCGAGGAAGTTGCCGTGATTCCTCCGGAATTGGAGCCGTTTAGCAGCCTTCTTGGACTTTCAGTTCTGGCGCTTAGGTCTTTCTTTGTTCCCTTGCATTAGGCACTAGGATCTAGGTTATTGGAATTAGAGCGGACAGAGTCGGCCGATGCAAACCATAGCGACTAAGAACGCGTGGCACAACGGTAGAGCCGTTCACGCGAGGGTTTAGTCAGGGTTTCCTCTCCAGCTGCCTATTAAGTATTACTGCTACTCACCGTAAAATTTCCCGTCCCCTTCACGCGTAGGCGGTTGTGGCGTATCACTCGACGAATAGGAGGACGACCTTATGCCCGTGCAGCAGAAGGTCTTACCTTGCGCTCGTACCTTGCAATTTTCGGGCGCCTCCAAACTCGCCGTTGCTTGCCCCGTTCCCGTCACGCGTGGGCGGTAATGGGGTATCACTTGACGATCAGGATTACGACCTTATGGGCCTTGCCGTTCAAGCTCCTTCCCTTCTCAAAGTTTGCTCTTTCTTTCCGTCAACCATCCATCCTCCCCTGACCCTCTCCCCTCATTCCTCTTCCTCTATCCTTTTCCCCCTTCCTTCCCCTTCACCTTCACCATGGACGGCCTTGCGCGGTTTCTTTCCAACCCCTCTCATCCCCGTCCATCCCCGTTACAGGCGTCTCCGTTGTATGGGACCCGAAATCGTATATACAGCCATTCCCTGCCAAATTTTCGCCGTATATCGCCCTGCTTATCCCCATCGCTGCGCGGTTTCCTATCCCCGCTACAGGCGACTCCAAGATGCTTATAACGGCGTCGGCGGATCAGAGCGTGAAGCTGTGGGAGGTGGAGACGGGCGTGCCGTACTACACCTTCACCATGGACGGCCCTGCGCGCTCCGTCACTCTCGCGGAGGGCGAGCAGCTCGCGGCGATCACGGTGGATCCCTTCATGGGCAGCGTGCCGGCTATACACGTGAAGCGGATCAAAGAGGGCAGCCGAGAACGTAAGTGCCGTGCTTCCCTCCCCTCGTTTTTCCCCACTCCCCCCACCTTCCCCTTCCCTAGCTGTGCTGTAGCCCTCCTCCCCCTCCCATCACACCTTCACCATGGACGGCCCTGCGCGCTCCGTCGCTCTGGCGGAGGGCGAGCAGCTCGCGGCGATCAAGGTGGACCCTTTTATGGGCAGCGAGCCGGCCATTCATGTCAAGCGGATAAAGGAAGGCAGCCGAGAGCGTGAGTACTGCATTGCCTCCCCTCCCACAACGACCCGTGACCCTTAGTCTCTTTGCCACAGCGATCCTTCGCTTGTAGTCGCCCTCGCGGAGGGAGAGCATCTCACGGCCATCACGGTGGACCCCTCCTCCTCCTCATGGGGAGCATGCCCGCCATCCGCCAGAGGAGGAGGAGTCAGTGCTGCAGATCACTGGTTTTCAGGGCCGAATCATGCACTGCGTGTGTGGGGCCCACTCAGTGCCTGGCGTCCGCCTCCTCTCTGTGTTGTGCATTCAGTGCTCTCCCCATTCCCTCCCCTGCCGCCCCCCCCCGTTGATTCTCACCATCAGAGGAGGAGGAGTCAGTGCTGCAAATTACAGGTCCCCAGGGCCGAATCATGCGCTGTGTGTGGGGCCCGCTCAACCAGACGCTGATAGGCACGGGGGAGGACTGCATCATCCGCATGTGGGATGCTGAGGTGAGGTTAATGGGCGTTGTATGCAGTAAGAGGGCGTTACTGGGAGTTTAGGTAGGTGTAGTTGCAGGGTCTTGATTGGTGGGAGGCGTGCTGCTACTAGCATGTGTGTGGGGCCCGCTTAACCAGACGCTGATAGGCACGGGGGAGGACTGTATCATCCGCATGTGGGACGCTGAGGTGAGGCGGATGGGCAGCATCAGTAGGTGTAAGGGTGGGTGGTAGTGTTAGGTAGGGTGCTGGTGGTGGGTGCGAATCATAGGTTCCCGCTCAACCAGACGCTGGTAGGCACGGGGGAGGACTGTATCATTTGCATGTTTGACGCTGAGGTGAGGCGGATGGAGGGTGTTGATACAGGGGGCTAATAGTTGGTATGTTGGTGTTCATGTCATGGGAGGTGTGCTGTAGCTGCTACTAGCATGTGTGTGTGGGGCCCACTCAACCAGACGCTGATAGGCATGGGGAAGGATTGTGTCATTTGCATGTGGAACGTGGAGGTGGGGCGGATGGGCGCTGTAGCCAGTGGTTGGTGGGTGTTACTGGGCGTTGTGGTAGGTGGAGTGGCAGGTCATAGGTGATGGGTGGGTGTGCTGCCTTCCCTGCATCCACATCCCTGCCCCCTCCCCTCCCTGCTCCACCCCCTCCCTCAACACAATCAGACGGGCAAGTTGCTGCGCGAGACAGAGCCAGAAGTGGCGCACAGCAAGACAGTGACGTCGCTGTCCAAGTCAGCAGATGGGTCGCACTTCATCACAGGGTCCTTGGATAAGTGTGCCAAGGTGAGTTGGAATTTATCTTTACATAAAGAAAAAGAAAGGAAGGGAGAAGGAAGAAAGAAAACAATAGTCAGCGAGCGCAGGAGAAGATGTCAGTAGATGAATAGCTCGCACCTGTGACAATGTTTTTTTTTTTTTTTTTTTTTTTTTTTTTTTTTTTTTTTTTTTTTTTTTTTTTTTTTTTTTTTTTTTTTTTTTTTCCTTTTCTTCCTTGCTTGCTTTCTTTTTATCCGCTCGCTAAATTTACGTTTTTATTCTTTGTACTTTCCTCTTCCAATCAATGCAGCTGTGGGACACGCGCACGCTGCGTCTGCTCAAGACATACCAGACGGAAAGACCCATTAACGCTGTCGACATCTCCCCTCTCTTCGACCACGTCAGTTCCTCCCCTCTCCTCGTTTGATCGTTTTTGTCCCGCCTCCGTATGACGGTGCTAGTATCACCTTTCTACAACCACTTGAGCCTCACCTCTGGCTGCTCAAGACGTACAAGACAGAGCGAACCATGAACGCTGTCGACATCTCCCCTCTTTTCTACCATGTCTGTTCCTCCCCTCTCCTCAACCATTTCCGTCCCTCACCACCCTTCCTTGCAGGGTGTTTTTGAGGAGTCTCATAAACACTTTACCACTTCAGTCCCTCACCTTCTTGCATCACCTTTCTCCTACCTGTGACAGTCTGACATCTTTTTATTTTCTCTCGTTGCTCTTGCTCTCTGAAGTTTTGCTCCGCTTTGATATTTTTCTCATTCAAGTACAGACTGACATGAAGGCTAGGTAGTTTTCTACGATTGCTCCTGTCATTCCCCTGCAGGTGGTGCTGGGAGGAGGCCAGGATGCTGCATCTGTCACCACCACTTCATCGCGAGCAGGCAAATTTGAGGCCGTCTTTTACCACAAGGTCTGTGTTCCCTGCGCCCTTTTCATTGCTCCTCTGTCCTTTGTGAGCCACTTTTTGAGACGATTCTGGACATGTTCACGGCTGCTTGTGTTTTCCGCGCTTTGCGCTCGATCCACATGCATATTCTCATGTGAATGATCACCCTAGCAGGTGCTTGAAGAAGAGATTGGGCGAGTGAAGGGGCATTTTGGACCGTTGAATGCTCTTGCGTTCGGCCCTGATGGACGAAGGTATGCAGTTTTGAAGTTCTTGTCACTTTTTTTCAGCTTCATGTTTTCACTTGTAGTTTTTCCCTGTTTGTAAGTGTTCAAAGGCCGGGAATCTTATTGTTTCCTGATGTTTGTATGCAGCTTTGCAAGCGGCGGAGAGGATGGTTACGTCCGCCTTCATCACTTCGACAATGACTACTTCCACATTCGAGTTTAGGTTGAATCAATGTCTGAGATTATGTTGAAATTGTGTAGGTACTGTCTGCATGTTCCTGTTTTTGTTGCTAGTTGCAGTGCTGCAGTTTTGTGTTAACCACTTGTTTTTCTTGTTTTATGTAGCATACATAACTGCCAAAATACAAAGATTTCGCCAATACGTTTCCCCAATGCATCTGCAGTCCACGTGGCAGTCCCTCAGATGATGCAGCTGGACCTGCGACCCCCAGAACTCGAATGTTCCACCTCAGCCAATCACGTTTGGTCTTCAGGTTCCTCACCTCTCGAGCCCTATCCTCCTTACAGCCACGCATTTTCCCCCGAGCAGCCTTGGATCAACCCCTTCGACCTTCCCCTCGTTACCGCCACCTTTCAACACTACATCAGTCATAGAAGTTAGGCACCTAAAGCCCAGAGCTGTCCTTCGGAAACTCGCCTCATAGACAGATCATAATTTAGGACAGGGGATTTCTGCCTTTTCTCTCGGCGTTCGGACATTAGCGCACCAATAATCTGTCCTCTAAAGGTTTATCTTTCAGGCTGCAAATTTTTTTGAACCGTTTTGGGCACCAGCTTGGCTAGTGAAAGACGTCAGAAATGTCAGACGATTGGGGTAAGTCTGCTGATTGGCTGACTCGGTCTTTTTGTGTGAGCGTCATTGCAGCTGTAATGAGTCCAAATCAGGTGAGCGAAATAGAGTCTCAATACAGCGCGAGTCTCCTCGCGCCTCAGAAGCAGTGTCGTCTAATCGTCAGCGCATCTGCGAGCCTCGTGCAAAGCTTGAGCGTCACCAATGAATGACGAATTTATCATTCAGTGTCCAACTCATCGAGTCTTGGACAATTTGTCCAAGAATATGCACGATTCCTCGCATCAATGCCTACTCGTCGCCGACTTTGCCTGATCACCCTTCGTTTCTCGTCCTGCGACATGGGTACAGCTTAATGGATTATCAGAGACATTTTTGTTAATCGTTTAAAGGCTACGTCGCAAGAACTTTGACCGCGCATAAAATTGTTACCCAAACAATTGTTCTCCCTCGTTTACATCCTCGAGGTGACCGGGATGCACAATCCAACCCAAAGTAGAAAAGTTAAGCTTGATTCGTGGACGTTCAAAATCGTAATTTGATCGTCTGCATATCGTCGTCTCAGGCCTATTGGTTTGCCAACACGCTTCTTAGCTTTTCCCTTGCATCGACCCCCTTGCATCGACCCCCTTGCATCCTTCCCCTTGCACCCTTGTCTACTGTCCGTCCCTTCCCTCCCCATCCCTCGCATTTCCCGTTCCGAAACCCCTTCTCTCATTCCACCTTCCCCCGTCTCCTCTTCCCCAGTATTTTTTTTGGGTTGAACTTCCTTACTTCAGTAATTTCCCACTTTTCCTTCTCACCTTAGGGTTCATCGCGTTTCCCTCTCCCCCGTTCCAACCTAACCCTACTTCGCCCCTCAACCCTCTGCTTCCCCCTCCCCTCTTCCCCACCCTCCGCTAACCCTTCTCCTCCTCTCCCCCCTCCCTCCCCCCCTTTCCTTTCACTTCCCCGCAGATGCTGACGACTTCGAGCCGCCGCCAGTGGTGGTGGCGAAAGAGCCGGTAAAGTCTTCATGGGAGGACGAGGAAGAGGAGGAGGAAGCACCGGCCCCTACCACCACCGCCTCAGTCAGTCCCCCTCGCCCTCCGCTGTTCTGTGCATTGGATTCTCCGCATTCTTCCTCTTTCCCCCCATTTTTGTTGGCGTTTGCTGTTGTGCCGTTTCAGTAGCAGCTTCCACCGTGTGTCTCGGGTTATGTGCTGGTGCTGGTGTTGGTTTGTTGGTGTGTTGGTGGGGTGTCGTGTTGTGTTGTTGGTGTGCTGGTTGCTGGTGTGCTGGATGGTGGTGCTGGTGGTGATGCTGTTGAATTTCTCGTGGCGTGCAGGCGAAGCCCAAGGGAGAGAAGAAGAAGAAGAAAGCGGAGGACAAGGGGAAGGGCAAAGAGAAGGAGGAGGAGGAGGTGGTGGACGATGGAGTGCTTGCAGATCCTGTAGCGGAGAAGCTAAGACAACAACGGTGAGGAGGGAGAGTGGGGGCGGGTGTGTGTCTGTTGGGCGTGTGTGGGGGAGGGAGGGAGGAGGGGGGGGTCGAGGAGGGAGAGGTTGGTAGGCGGGGAACAGGGGGTAGGGGGGGTGGTTTTGGAGAGAGGCAAGACAGCAACGGTGAGCGCGAGTTGATTGTACACCACGTTTTAGCAGAATGTTCCTTCATACCCTTTCCCCTTCCCTTTGTCCTCCTACCCCACCCACCCACCCACCCACCCACCCACCCACCTGCCCCGCTCCCCCACATGTTCCCCACTCCCGCTTTCCGTCAAACTTTTTATTAACCTTCTTCCCCTTCCCCCCCACTTCGCCCCTCTCCCCCGCCGTTCCCGCTCTTTCCCCACCCTTCCCCCGCTCTCCCCCCCTCCCCCTCCCCCCGCACGTTCCCCATCCCCATTCCCCTTCCCCCCTCCCTTCTCCCTGTTCCCCACCTACCATCACCAAGGCTTGTGGAGGAGAGCGATTTCAAAGCAACAAAGGAGCTGTTTGGTGGGAAGAAGAAGGAGGGGGAGCGGTCACTGGACGACTTTCTACCCAAAAGCGAGGCAGACTTTAACGAGTTTGCAGACCTGATTGCCGCCAGAATCACTCCCCACTCGGTAAGTGGCGGATTTTTTTTGTTGTATCACCCACCATTTGTCACGACGTCGTAGCCCTTTCACCACCTCCCATCGTTTCTCGTCATTTCTCGCCTCACTATTTCTCGTCATCTGCAAAAAGAGATCTCACTTCGTCACACTGCTCTCAATCATTACCAGGACAACTTGGCCTTTCCCCCTTCGGCAAGGATTGGAAGGAGATGATCTGAGTGTTGCTCTTGCACCTTCCCTCCCTCACGCCCTACCCCGCTTTCGTCAAGTGCAGAAGAGCTTTCACTACGTGTCTCTAATCAAGAACATTCTCAGAAAGGTGGAGGCGCCGTTGGTGGGGAAGGACGCCAAGGAGATCAGCGCTGCTGCTGCTGTGATCGCGAATGAGAAGCTCAAGGCGGAGAAGGAGGCAGAGAAGGGCAAGAAGAAGGGCGGTGAGTGAAGGAGAGAGGGGAGTGAGGGAGGGAAGGAAGGAAGGTGGCTGGGGAGGGTGAAATGAGAAGTAAGGTGGCTGTGGGAGTGAAGGGAGGTGAAGGAGGACGTGAAGGGAGGCAGGGAAGGGGAAGAAGAAGGGCGGTGAGTGACAGGAGGGAAGAGGGATGAGTGAAAGCATGACACAGGGACACAGGTTGGGTACACATGGAGAGAAGGGTTGGGGATGAGGAGCAGAGTGGAGATTGACAGTCATGTCAGTCAGGTCAGCGCTGCTGTTGCTGTGATCGCGAATGAGAAGCTTAAGGCGGAAAAGGAGACAGAGAAGGGCAAGAAGAAGCGCGGTGAGTGCTGGAGTGATGGGGGGGGGAAGTGAGGGGAAGACGGGAAGTGGCGGGTGAGGGAAAGAAGGGAGGGGAGTGATCAAGGGAGGGGAATGAGGAGAGAAGGGTGGTGAGGGAGAGAAGTGATTGGGAGCGACTGAGAGGGGAATGAGGAGAGAAGATTGGTGAGTGACGTGGGAGGGAGGGGTTGGAGAAAAGGGTTTGTGTCGATGGCACAGTTGGGGGTTGACTTAAAGGTCAGGAGGTCAAAAAACTGTTGAAGGGGCCTGGGTGGGGAAGGACTGGAGGTGAGGGAAAGACGGTGGGGAGAGGGGAAAAAAGGGGGGGGGGGGGGGGAGATGGGGAGAAGGGAAAGCAGGGAGGTCAAGGGATGGGAGGTGACGAAGTAGGGGGAGAAGGGGTGATTGGGAAGGAAAGGGGAGGTGAATGAGGGAGCACAGGTGGGATGAAGGGTGAATGCGGAGTGGTGAGATTAGGAGAAATATATGGGAGGTTGTGCTTCTGCAGTCCTGTGCTGATCGCTCTCCTTAACCATGCCATTAACCTATGTGTGTACTGTACACCTCCTTGTATGCATGCATGTGTGCGTCTGTGACTGCCTGTATGACTGTGCCCCTGTTTGCAGCCAAGAAGCAACAGTTGACAGTGGATCGGCCAGAAGACGATGACTATAAGGGGTCTTATGCTGGGCCTGATGATGATTATGACTTCATGTGAAACTGTAGCAACCCTCTCTGGCATTGCATATGAACCTTTGGGAGGCGTTGTGGTGAGTTTACCAGGCTGTAGGATCAGGGATTCAGGGCATGGTGGCTAGGCCCTGTGTAACACCTGGTCTGCTGTGGCCGATAAGAAGGGCATTGTTCGTAGTGAGACAGGACGGCGGGCTCCACTGTGAGAAGCTGGGTCACCTTTGAGGGATGCATCATGGGTAGTCCATCAGACCAGCTTTTGGTGCGGGCTGGTTATGGAGCAGAAGAGAGACCAACGCTATGTTGTACCCAGTAACTTGCTTGAAGAAAAAGGGTGCATTTGTTAACCTTCGAGAAGTAGGTCTAGGCACAGGCGAATCCATTAGTAAGTGCTGGGGAAAAATGCACAGCAGGATGTGAAAGTTTGGGGCGTTGGACAGCTCGGGCACAATGCAGAATTTCTATCGCGGTGATAATTCTGCAGGACGTGTGGTGTGGATGTAAAAGGACAATTAGCAAACCAGCGTGCTGTGAGAGTGCACTACTCATGCTTGCAAGAAATTCGACATGAAGAATACACGAAGTATGTGCAGTGATACATGAGAATGGGATCAGTTGCATGTGCCAGCCACTACGCGAGCTGTACAATGCTTTTTAGTATGTCATTTAGATTCCCTGGAAAGGCAGGGTGGCTTGAGATCCAAAAAACACCACTGGCATTGATACACGTTCAGTGAGCCAGTGATCTCTACCGCTGCTGCCGCCACTGTCACCGCCGTTTGTGGCGTAACCCGCCGTGCTGCTCGTGTCCCGCTGCGTCTGCTTCTCACGTAACTTCTCAGGTTATTAACAAACAGCCGCGCTGTGAACGGACACCTGTCCTTCAGTCAGTGAACGGAAACCGTCCGCGACGCGAACGGATTCTGACGGTGAACGGAAACCGTTTGTCAGGTAATGGGACAGTTTGCCAAGGAAACGGCATCTCTGTTAGTGAACGGATGCTGTCTCTTGATGAACGGACGGCGCCTGTCAAGTAACGAAACGGACGGATACCGTCTGTCAGTGAACAGAGACCACGGATCCGCATCGCGAGAGGGCTTTTGATCCGTGCGACGTTGTCACGTCGCTGCAGTAACACTTCTCGTAAAAGCACAGGACCAAATGAGTCACCGTCAGCCGACGCGCGTCGCGGCTGTCAAGTCCCCACGCATACGCGCTTCCGCTTCCGCCGCTTTCGCCGCTAAAGCCGCTGTTGCTTCTGGTGGAAGGAGAACGCGCTTCGGGGCTTTCAGGGAGTCCATCCACTTCTTGACGTCCATTCGCATGGTAAGTGTCCCATCGCGGTTCGGAGCCGTCTGACGACCGTGTCGCGTTTGCCGCGGCGTAGAACCGATTTTGCCGGATCTCCCTGTGCAGCAACTTCGCATCGTGGCCGTTGCGGAGATTCACGAGGAAATCGTGGCCGTCCGTCACTTGAAGCAGCCCCGTCGCTGACGATTTTTTTAGCTCCACGCGGAACCCTAACGCGGTGAGCTTCTGCTGCAGCTGGCTCAGTAGGTTCACCTTGACCATAATTGCTTTGAACGAAAGGTTTGCGATTGAACCGAAATAAGGGCCATATAGAATCACAAGAGTCGGAGGTTCTTTGGGAGAATTAACAGCGATGTTGTTAATATCAGCGACAGCCATGGCGATCAGTTGTCACAGTATTGGCTGGTCCTGGGAGAAAGGGAAGCGTGATCTTGAGACTGGATTGTGACGATCTTAGAATCCAGCCTGCCCCTAAAAAGGAAGACTCCCACACTGGAAAGCCGATCGAGCAAGATACAATACACAAGGCATGTTCTTGGACATTCATTCATGGACCACACGAACTTGGAGGCTGTGGGGAGGACGTGTTTGGCAAGTGCGATGTGGGGTTGGTACAGAAACGCGTTGTTCGATCTTGAGCTCTCTAGAGCAGGGCCTATTTTTGCAGGAGGGTTTACCCGGCCTACTATTCAAATCCGGGTGGATTTTTTGGCCACTCGGCAAAAAACGAGCTGCCACGATTGTGACTCGGCCAACTTCAGGGTCCGATTTTTTTTTAGGCTGCTGTGGCCGGATGCCTGAATTCTCCACTCGGCCCTTCTGTGCAAGTACAAAATACCCCCACTCCTTTTCTTCTGAACTTCGCCAAAATAGCGAACCCTGAACAGCTCAAGTCCTTGTCTGCGAGTCACAAAGAATGGGTGACATCAAATTTGGCTAAGTTCTTGATTGCGAGTCGAGATTGGATCAGCTGGAGAATTTGGCTAAGTCCTCGAAATGCGACTGCACATACAAAGTTTGTACAAGAAAGAGTTAGCAGACACCCGGCCTGCACCCGGATTTTGTAGCGCGCCACTCGGCCCAGCCGAGGGGCACGCGGATTTCACCTTTTTTCGGAAGAGTGGCTTGAAACGAAAAATGAGCCCTGCTCTAGAGTGGTTTTCCATACGGGTACACCGCGTTGAACCGCTACTTACCGTGAATGGTGATTCGATGTGCGATGTGATGTGTGCGATGCGATGGACTGCCATGCCATGCCATGCGATGGCGGGATGGCGACCCACCACCACCACCACTATCATCACCACCACACCGCCATCTGAAATCTGGGCACGGGCTGGTTGTAGAAACCTGTTTGCCTTGACCGAAACTGACTGGACATGATGGTTTGTCGAAAAAAAAAATGTGGTTTGGACGCATTTGTTACTAGCGTGCACCAGAATGGTGCACCAAATGTGTGGAATATGACCCTTTTGAATTGCACTGGTCGTGTATTCGTCGAGCCTCGATGCGGGAAAATCTTGCCTGAGAAACATAACATGATTTTTGTCACGCCAGTTACATCTGACAAGAAACACCTGTGGGAGGAGTTGTTGTTGTTGTTCTATGCTCTACAGTGTAGCAAGAGTTGTCATTACAATTCTACAGCAACAGTTCCTCTCAACTGCAATAAATCTTCGAACAAACATTGTGGCTGCCCTGCTCATTAGATCGGATGGTCTGCAGTAATTTGAACTGCCCAACCATTGAACTACATGCTCATCTTGCGTCCGTCCCTTGCCGTGGTTACACATTTCCGTCTTTTTCCTGGCACGTTTCACATGCCAATTCCCATGTTTTGAGAATCGGGAATGAGAATCCTGGCAAGCAAGCTGCCTTGCCGGAGGTGCTTGATTGTACGGCTGCTTCCCCAGATGGTAACCGCCCCAATTTGTCCAGCGCAGCAATGAATCGTCTTGTACACTCATTGTGCGGCATCAGACGCTGCGGCGATTCCAATGATAAACTCAGCCGATGAATCTCTAATACACACGATGCCCAACCAGTGCACGCGAATTTGCCTTGCGCAGGATGGAAACCCTGCACCCGTGTATTTTGTGCCAGCCAGTTGCACCCCATCTACAAGCACCCCAAACTGAAGAGACCGGGGTCAAATTGTCAACGCTTAGTTACAATTCTCCATCTGCCCTTTGATAAGCCCTTTTTGCTAAGTGCGAATTGACGAAATCCAGACGAAATCCAAAATCACTTAAAAGCCCAGAGAGAGAGGCAAGGTCGGGGGGCTAAACCGGGCATCGTGTGTAAATTCCACTCCAGAGGGCGATGCACGTTCAGCCAAAACTTTCTGTTGGTACGGAGTGTGGGAACAATTGGCAGCTTTCGTGCCCTTGACAATTTGATGGAAGGAACCCCCCACCATTGGTTTTCGTCTTTTTGGTTGGGAATTTTGTTCATCGCTACGGTCAAACATTACAAATGGTGAGGCATTGTATCGCAATGAATGTCCTTCGACAGAGGACCAGAGGGTGCCCAGAACAAGACCCTTGATCGGTTTGAGAGTGCCCGGTTTGCAGAATGAAACTTTTATCAATGCGAAAACTACTGCAGATGCTGGATTACAGCTACCTTTTTAAAGTGCTTGGCCTTGAGACGCATTTCTACCCGATCAACTTTACTCTTGAACCTTCCCTGTACAGCAACGTTTGAAGTTTTGCACATTGGCTTGGATACACACGGGTGCTAGAATTGCCCGATACGTTGTACGGGTGGAGGCCCCCAACCAGTCCAACCAGATACATATTCCTAATGCCCCCGTAACACCTCCTTCCCTTCCCCCTGCCATTCCGCGTGTCAGGCTATGGCTAGGCATGCTTCTGTACCTGGGTACCCGTACAAGCACTGTAGTTCTCGTTTACATTGCAACATAATACACTGGATCTTCAACCATCCCCCACATAAGCTGACCCCATCCCAGCCTTCTGTGTAGACTCATCAAAACCATGGCCAATGTAGCTGGTACATACATAGGTGCGAGCCTATGCTGCATCCGGTACGGGTGTAACATTTGGTTTGCCAAATTTATCCACCAATTCCGGAGGAGGCTCAAAATGTATTCCATTCAAGGGAATATCCATATCCATTGCATACAGCAGTGAGCCCTCCTCGTAAGATTGCTGCACGGGAACGAAACACAGCATGCGAAATGGGCGGAGGAGGAGAGAGCAGGTGAAGGGTGGGGGGGGGAGTGGGGTGGGTGGGGAAAAGAATGTACGCATTCTCATTACGAGGATTTTTGCGTGTAATGCAAGTGCATTGTGTGCGATTGCTGCAACAGGACTATATGGAAGGTACCAGGAAGCAGGCATGTGATGCTCCCAGCATGAGTCAGCTGCACGTTCTACTCATGGAAGGTACTCAGGCGCTCGCCTCAGATCCGTGGGATAGCCGCGGTTGAAACTATTCCTACTCTTGCACAGGCAGGCGATGCTCCCAGCATGAGTCAGCTGCACGTTCTACTCATGGAAGGTACTCAAGCGCTCGCCTCGGATCCGTGGGCTAGCTCAGGTTGAAACTCTTCCTACCCTTGCACGGGCAGGTGATGCTCCCAGCATGAGTCAGCTGCACGTATTCTTGGCGATCTTAAATGCGCACCACCATGCAATCCAACCTCTGCAGCACCACCATGCAATCCAGCCTCTGCAGCACCACCATGCAATCCAGCCTCTGCAGCACCACCATGCAATCCAACCTCTGCAGCACCACCATGCAATCCAACCTCTGCAGCATCACCCCCACATCCTCCCACCATAGATGATAGATCACCACACCACTCACATCCTCACCTCATCATATAGCTCCAGCAGCTTGCTCCCAGCACTCGTGGGATGAACATCCTTGGACATCCCAAGCGCCCCCGATGCCCCACAGTGCGGTTCAGCCTCAGAAACACCCACACGCCCGGCCCAGGCACACACTCACCTCATCATATCGCTCCAGCAGCTTGCTCCCGGCATTAGTCGGACGGGCATCCCTGGACATCTAGAATGCCCCTGAAGCCCCCACAGTGCGGTTCAATCAACCACAGAAACACCAACACGGCCAGCCCAGGCACACACTCACCTCATCATATCGCTCCAGCAGCTTGCCGCCGGCATTAATCGGATGATCATCCTTGGATATCTTAAACGCCCCCGATGCCCCCACAGTGCGGTTCAATCAACCACAGAAACACCAACACGCCCGGCCCAGGCATACACTCACCTCATCATATCGCTCCAGCAGCTTGCTCCCGGCATTAGTCGGACGGGCATCCCTGGACATCTAGAATGCCCCTGAAGCCCCCACACCTCCACAGCATCAACCCCACATTCTCCCACTCCAGATCACCGCACCACCCACTCACATCTGCACCGCAGCATGTAGCTCCGAGAGCCTGCTCCCAGCATTAGTCGGATGCGCATCACTGGGAGATCTTAAACACTCCCGATGCCCACCCACTCACCCACTCAGCTACTAACACACTTACCCCACCACCCACCCACTCACATCTGCACCGCGGCATATAGCTCCAAGAGCCTGCTCCCAGCATTCGGATGTTTGTCTTTCGAGATCTCGAAAGCTCCTGACTCCCCCACAGTGCGGTTCGGCCTCCGCAGCACCACCCCCACATCCTCACACACACTACTCACCCACTCACATGCCCACACCACTCACCCACTCACATGCCTACACGACTCACCCACTCACATGCCTACACCACTCACCCACTCACCTCATCATACAGCTCCAGCAGCTTGCTGCCAGCATTAGTGGGATGCGCATCTTTCGAAATCTTGAACGCTCCCGACTCCCCCACATTGCGGTTCAGCCTCCGCAGCACCACCCCTACATCCTTTGCCAGATTCTCAAACCGCCCGATAAAATCAAATCGGATCTTGTCGAATCGGCACGCGTCGATCTGCGGCTGAACGTGGGACTCCATGCGTCCCCGGCGCTGCTCCCTCATCAGCCTCAGCAGCCACGCGAACTCCCCAAAGGTGAACAGGTCGTTTCCCTTCTTCGCCTTGACTAGCCGCCGGAAAGGAATGAATTTCCGGAAGAACATCTGAGGGGAGGGGGGGCGGAAGCAGAGGGGAGATGAATGGGCAGGGTGGAAGCGATCTGGATGAACAGAGGAGTGGAATGGGGGAACAGCACACAAGACTGCAATGCAGGGAGTGGAAGGGAAGCCAAGAGGGTTTGCACGTGGGAGTCCATGCGAGATCCAGACATAGCTCAGTGAGCTGCGTGCGTGTGTTAGGCTCAAAGCAAAGGAAAGGGAAGCCAAGAGGGTTTGGACGTGGGATGGGAGTCCATGCGTCCGCGGCGCTGCTCCCGCATGAGCCTCAGCAGCCCTGCGAACTCCCCGAAGGTGAACAAGTCGCCTCCTTTCTTTCACAAACGAGAACTTGAAGAAGTCCGGCCGGGTCAGCAGCTCAATTTTTGAGACGTCCCAAAAGCAGCCATGCGAAACTCCCCGAAGGTGAACAAACCGTCTCCTTTCTTTCACAAACGAGAACTTGAAGAAGTCTGGGCGGGCCAGCAGCTCAATAGCCCCGTGCTCTGGGAAGTGGTAGGCTCAGGTTAACCACATTCCCCTTTCCCTTTCCTTCCCTTTCCCCATTCCCTGCCTTTCCCCATTCCCTGCCTTTCCCCATTCCCTGCCTTTCCCCATTCCCTGCCTTTCCCCTTCCCTACACAATAGCCCCGCCCACCACCACCCACCCACCCACCAATCACCCACCCTGTTCCAGAATTGCCGCGAGTAAGGAGGTCCCCCACCAACGTGTTTGTTCAGATACACCGACGCCAGCCGCGTGTACGGATTCCGCACGAACGAGAACTTGAAAAAGTCCGGGCGGGTCAGCAGCTCAATCGCGCGGTGCTCTGGGAAGTGGTAAGCCAGGATGCGCAGGCCTGAGCGTGCCTTGTCGTGGGTGAGAAACACGTCTGACACGTTTGCCTGCCCCTGCTGCTCGCGGAACCACGTTTTCCACCCCGTGCAAGCGACTTTAGGCACGAAGCAGTAGATGGTTTTGAGATCCTCTGGTGGTTGCAAGTGGGGAAGGGGGAGGGGGCGATAGAGACAGTCACATAGGATTCGTTGGCCTGCCGCCGCTGCTCTTGGAAACAGATCTTCCACCCCGTGCAGGCGACCTTAGGCTCAAAGCAGTAGATTTGAGGAGCCTCAAAACTGGCCTGGCGCCGCTGCTCTTGGAGCCAGATCTTCCACCCCATGCAGGCAACCTTAGGCACAAAGCAGTCGATGGTTTTGAGATCCTCTGGTGGTGGTACGGGTGGGGAAAACGGGGAGGGGGAAAGAAACCGGTGATGAAGAAACATTCACACAAGACACTGTTTTTTGCCCCTACTCTCATCGCCCACTATGAACTGCTGCATCTTGAAGGAGACAGCCTTAAGAGGCCCACTGTTGCACGGGGAAGCACTGCAATTACACCCCTCTTCCTCACCATCCACAATGAATTGCCGCAGGAACCGCTGCTTCCCAAACGACTCAGCCTTAGGAGCCCCACTATTGCACGGGGCAACACTGCAATTACACCCAAGCAAAAGGGCAATCCACACAACAAGCCCCCCTCTCTCACCATCCACTATGAACTGCCGCAGGAACCGCTGCTTCCCAAACGACTCAGCCTTGGGAGCTTCACAGACAGTCGGCGCCACAGAGAATGGCACTTGTTGCACCAAGAACGGCCCCCTCTCTTCAGCACCCACAGATTCTTCACCACCCCTTGCTGCCCCTGCTCCCTCTGCTCCCCTTGCTGCCCCTGCTCCTTCACTCCCCACCACTCCACTCCCACTCCCCGCTTCCCCCAACCTCCCTTCCCCCAGCCCCAGGATCCCCCTGGCAGTGCCGGCGTGGGCCTGGGCTTGGAGGAAGCGGGCCTCGAGAGACGCGCGGGTGTGGATGAGCGCCGCTGCTACCGACACCACCCACGCCTCCGCCACCTGCAGCTGGGCGCACAAAGTCGCGTTGAACCCACCGCTGCTGCCAGCTGAATTAGCCCCCTCACTGCTGGTGCTGCCATTAGAATCAGCCTTGCTGCTGCTGCTGCTGCCTGAGGGACCAGCATTCAAAGCCGTGCCCTGCTTAACTCTGCCCTTCGATCCCTCCCCGTCTTTCTTCTCCCTGGCCTCCTCTAACAACCTTCTCCTTCCCTGCTGTTTCTTCCTCGACTTCCCCAGCTCTCCCTCGCCTTCCCCTCCTTCATCCCCTTCTCCTCCTTCTCCCGCTCCGCCCATCTCACCCTCCGCCTCTCCAATCCCCCGTCCTCCCTCCACCTCCCCATCCCCCTCCCCGTCCCCGTCCCCCTCCCCGTCCTTTCCCCACCCCCTCTCCTTCCCCCCTATCCCCCCACCGCCACCAGCAGGGGAAGGGCAGGCGCGCAGGCGGGCAAGGGTTACATCCAGCAGCAGGGGGGCGCGGAGGGGGTGGAAAGTGCGCGCCACTGCAGCAGCATCTGCCGCCCAGAACGCACTCATGGTGAAATCCACTCGCCTCCCCTCCCCTTCTTGCCCGTCCCCACCTCCTCTTCCTTCTCCTCCTCCCTTTCCTCCTCCTGCTCCTGCTGCTCCTCCTGGTGCTCCTCCTGCTGCTTCTGCACTTGCTTCCCCATCAGTAGCCACCTCCCCCAGATACTGCCAAGCCAGCGTGCGCAGCGTGCAGTTCAAAAGAGGGTCATCCGGACAGCCTGGACAGCTGCCAGGTGGCAGCTCCTCGTTGGCCTGGAAATTGGGCGATGGGGTGGGTTAAAAAACATGGGCATCTAACAATGACAACATTGCTGTAAGCACTATAAAGTCTGGGGACTAAATTGGAATGATGTGAACTAAATTGGCTAAGTCTGGTTCTAAGAACTTGACCACGCACTTTACTCCCTCTACCCCCCCTCGCTGCTCTCACCTCGAGGCACACAGCGGTGGAGTGGGGCAGCCTAGAGAGGGCAGAGGGGGTGTGCCTGCTCTTTCCTGCTTCCTCCATCTTCTCTCGCTGCTCTCACCTCGAGGCACACAGCGGTGGAGTGGGGCAGCCTAGACCAGAGAGCGCGGAGGCAGGGTGGGCGCGCATGATGGCCGCCACGCCTGCGTTTCCCGAGTCAAGCAAACCTCCTCACACCCTTTTCCACCGCACACAGCTCCTTCGTGCTTCCTCCACCCTCCCTCTCTGCTCTCACCTCGAGATAAACGGCAGTAGAATGGAGGAGTCTGGAGAGGGCGGAGGAAGGATGGCCGCGCATCATGGCCGCCACGCCTGCTGACGGCCGCACCCCGCCCAGGCAGGCCGCCTCGAGGGCTCTTACACTGCAGGACTCGGCGGAAGTCTGGCGGAAGGAGGGACACAAAAGGAAAGAGCGGGATTGGCTAGGGGAGGGGGGCACGCCTGCTGACGGCCGCACCCCGCCCAGGCAGGCTGTTTCAAGTGCCCTCACGCTGCAGGCCTCGGTGGGAGTGTGGTGTATGCTAGGGGAAGATGGGGGAGAGAAGGAGAGAGGAGAGCGCGGACGAAGATTAGTAGCTTACAGGCTGCACCCCGCCCAGGCAGGCCGTTTCGAGCACCCTCACGCACGCTGCACGGCTCGACAAGAGTCTGGCAGGGGGAAGTGGAACGCGGATGTGGAAGGACGATACATGGTAAGGTGGCACGGATAGTTTTGAGACGTCTCGACAGCAGCTCGCCCAGTCCACATGGCTGACGGATGTGGAAGGACGACACATGGTAAGGTGGCACGGAGAGACTGGAAGAGGTAGAGAGGGAATTTGTGAGACGGCTCAAGCAGGGTGTGTGCATTGGCTGCTTATTTATTATGTAACATATTGGGAAGAATCAAGAAGGGATTGTCTATTTTCCAGCTTACAAAGGTGGCTTTTGAGAATTCCCAAAAATCAAGAAGGGATTGACTAATTTCCAGCTTACCAAGGACGAAGAACCAATGCTCCACGTCGAATTGGGAAGCAGCAGAGACATGACAGTGTCTGCCTCTGTCAACACCCCCTCTGCTGCGCTCCTCCCACTCTCACTGCTGCCACTGCTGCTACTGCTGCTGGCTGTGCTGCTGCCACTTGCACTGGAGGAGCAAGGTGGCATGGAGACCTGAGAAGGTGGGGGGACGTGGAGGGGAGAGGGATGTGAGGAGCAAGTGGAGGGAGGCATGTGGGGAGGAAGTGGAGGGAGGCATGTGGGGAGGAAGTGGAGGGAGGCATGTGGGGAGGAAGTGGAGGGAGGCATGTGGGGAGGAAGTGGAGGGAGGCATGTGGGGAGGAAGTGGAGGGAGGCATGTGGGGAGGAAGTGGAGGGAGGCATGTGGGGAGGAAGTGGAGGGAGGCATGTGGGGAGGAAGTGGAGGGAGGCATGTGGGGAGGAAGTGGAGGGAGGCATGTGGGAAATCAAGTACGGGGTGGTATATACTGCAAGTCACCAGCTCACAATCAGCCATCTGAGGGATGCGAGAGGTGAATCAGCAGGCGTGTCTGCCTGCACCACCACCAGGCCTCGCCATCTATCCATCAGCCTCAACAGCAGCTCTGTTCCCCCCCCCCGATCTCCTGCTATACCCGTGACCTAGACCCCTGTACTCACATTGAGCCATGTCAGGGATGCGGGAGGCGGGTAGGAGGGCATGTCTGCCTGCACCACCACGTCTCGCCAGCTATCCATTAGCCTCAGCAGCTGCAGCTCTGCATCCCCCCTATCCATTCCCCTCAGTCACCTGCCATACCCGTGGACCTAGAGCTCTGTGCTTACTCACAGTAAGCCAAGTGAGGGAAGTGAGGGGCGGGTCGGAGGGCATGTCTGCCTGCACCACCACGTCTGGCCAGCTATCCATCAGCCTCAGCAGCAGCAGCTCTGTGACTACCCCCTATCCATTCCCCCTAGTCACCTGCCACACCCGTGGACCCAGTGCCCTGTGCTTACTCACATTGAGCCATCTGAGGGATGCAAGAGGCAGGTCGACAGGCATGTCTGCATGTACCACCACGTCAGGCCAGCTATCCATCAGCCTCAGCAGCAGCGCTGCTCCTGCTGCCGCCGCTCCTTCTCCTCCTGCTGCTGATGCTGCTGCTCCTGCTGCCCCTGCTGCTCCTTCTGCAGAACCCACAGCAGCAGGTTCGGATCCTGCCAGCATCGCTCTCCTCATTCGCTCCCTGTCAGGAGGCCCAGCAAAGAGAGCATCAAAAGGCGCATGGGGAATCAAGTCACCCGCACTGCCGCTACTGCTGCTGCCGCTGCTGCTGCTGCTCCCTCCGCTTTCTCCACCAACCAACGTGGTACGTCCCTTCCGCCACACTACAGTGACCAGACCCCTGTCTTGGACGTTAACAGAGTTACCAGGCAATTCAGCAGCAGACTTGACGGAGCTGACGGAGCTTCCACTGTCTCTGGAGGTCTCCGTCACCCCTGCTGACTGAAACCTCCTGGCCAATACGGTGGCGACAGCTGGCGCCAGGCAGAGCGTTTGAAGTTGTGACATGGTCCCACCCTGCAACGTAGCATGGCATGCGGGAAACACAGGATGCCCCTTTGATTTACACGGTGTAATACTCGTGCAGAGACATCATTATGACATTATGAGCGAGTGATCTAAAGAGGACATACAGGTCACAGTGCAAGTACACAACGGAAGAGACAAAATGGAACAAAAAGGAACAATATAAGAACAACTGAGAGAACGTGACACGAACCTCTGCCAGTGCAACGACTCTGAATGATGGCCTGATTGGTGCTTCGTTCTCAATGGAGCTTGCTCCCGTGATACCAGAACCGTCGCTGTCAGAGCTATCGCTGTGAGCAGTACTTCTGTGAACGCTGGAGCTAGTTCCTGGTTCATCAGAACCGCTGCTGTCAGAGCTACTCTCGTGAGCATTGGAGCTTGCTCCCCTGACACCAGAACCGCTGCTGTCAGCACCACTGCTGTGAGCAGCAGAGCTTGTCTCTATGAGAACTGGACTGCCGCTGTCAGCATTACTGTGACCTGTGAAGCTTAAGTTTGTGTCATTTGAACTGCCGCTGTCAGCACTACCGTGATCTCTGTTGCTTGTTTCCGTGCCATCTGAACTGCTGATGTCAGCAGTACGGTGAGCAGTGGAGCTTCTTTCCGTTCCAGCAGCAACACGACTCCCAGCATCCTCGTTCGCGTTAGGAACTGCAGTTTCCCGCTCCGTTGCTGTTTCGCTACCGTTAGACGCCTCTAACGGAGTCTGACGGACCGTCACTAATTCGCTCTCTAAAGTCACCATAACTGGACCGAGATTATTGCTGTCTCTCTGCATGGACCAATAGAAGTGTAGGACACGTCCAATTGCTGTAACACCGATTAAAATAAGCACCAGCAGGACGAGCCAGATGAGCGTTGCGTATATCGAAGTGACAGTAACGAATCCGGCGACGTCACGCTTTCCCTTAGCCTTCTTGTCTTTTTTCGAGCGGCGCTTGGAGAAACTCCCACCGAATCTTAGGATTCTGAAGCACGAGGCTAATCTCCGACCGACTGCTTGTGACGACGATTGGAGCCATGAAATTGGGAAGGTATTGGGAAATGCAGACGTATAAGACTGAGAGGAATGGCTATCAGCAGTGGGTGATATAAGGCAAGCAGTTTCGGCCAATTCGTCTGACGCTGTCTCGTTCACCGAGATATCTTTCAGAGACGTCTTTAAATCATGGCGGTTCTCGTTCTCGAGGAGATTATTGACGTGCGCTCGGTCTTCCTGAATGGCATGAGGAGTTTCTAGGGCCACGTCATCAATGCTCGAGGAAAACGGGCCTGTCATGGTTCGTCGACGGGAAATGGAATTGCAGGATCAGCCTACACACTCATATCATAGGGATAAGCGACCAGCGTATCTGTCGAAATTCCGGCATGGAAAAAACGTTGACGGAATATCTATGCGTGTGATGGTTTCACCACATGACAGCGACCGAGTCCTCCACTGGAAGGCTAAATCTAAGCAGAGGAGATATTCTGAACAGAAGCATCGTACCAGACTAAGGCTATTCTTCAGACCAAGTGGCGCAGATAGAAATCAGCCTGTGTTTACTATTACAGCAGTGTAGAACAAGGAAATTCGCTGGAAGGTCAGCCTCGGGAGTGCCGGGCAGGAACAATAGCGCGGATTGTTGATGCCGCCAATATCGACCAGTAGCATGCATCCTTTGAGTTTTGGGCAGCAATCGCCCAACATCCTTCCCTCAAATTGTCCCCTGCCACAGAGAGATCCTGTAGAACCGATGCGCGGGCATCGGAAATGCAAGTCCAATGTGACCGACGAAAAACCAGCTCTGGTCAGCAGGGCAATCGGACTGTCGCAGCGCGTGGTGCCCTGACCATTATGTTTTGCGACGGTCAACACCACTGACGCTGCGCTGATTTGCGGTTCGCGAATCGCGAATTTCAAGCTAAAGGCGGTTTGCTCCGGCACCCCACTCAAAATCTAGGAAGCAAAATTGAACCCAGTTGAACCGCAACCAGGCGTTCATGATACCCGCACAGCTTTCAGTTCAGCTCCTTCTGAAGTAGACGAAACCAAGAAAAAGGCAAACCACAAGGCATCACCTCGCCATTTCGTTCTATCAACGTTGGGTTGGAACTCTACCGTTGTTTCTCCACACTCAACATCTCTATAGAGCTCTGTCCGCTAGGGATCCGTCGTACTTTTTGTATTAGGCAGGCATGGAATTGCCAGGAGGCGTTGAACCAGACCGTAAAAGAAGTCAGGCGGTTAGTGGTTCGCCCGCTGCTCGACCGAATCGCACATGGAACCTCACGAGACTTTCGCGCGCCAGCATCTTAGAAATCTCCCAGTCACTCGGCTTCAACTCAGTCGCGATTCTCTTTCTAACAGCCGTCATGGTATTCTCCATGATCGCAGTTGGCGGCCTCTTCCCCCAGCCTCTCCAATCCCAGAGACTCTTTTTTCCGTCTGCTGACTCCTCCGTTAACGTCCGTCCGAACTCCTTTTCCGGAATCCGTCGAATGAGCATCCCTGCCATCGAGGTTGTTGAGATTCGGGCCGATGCTGCAGCGGGGAGCAAAAATGGCGATGTTTCGCAGACTGAGAGTGGTAACTCGGCAACCACCGACATTTTCGCGGCGCCGAGCGATGGTGGCTATCTGGATGAAGGCGCTACCGGAGCCGTTGCAGGGGAGCAAGACTCCTGGGCCGTGGCGCAAGAGGAACCAGAATCAGCGCAAAATCAAGAAAAATCAGTAGCAGCGGAAACACAGGAAGCTTCGATATCAGCGCGAGATGAGGGACTGCCGAAGGTTCGGAACCAGGAAAGCGCCGCTGAAAGCCTGGAATCAGGGTCACCTGGTGACGTCGAAGCTTCGTCTGAAGAAGCTGCAGCCAGGCATATCGCGAATGCATCGCGAGAAGAGAATGCGGAGAAGGCGGAGACGGCGGAGACGGCGGAGAAGGTGGAGAACGTCGGGCAAGCGGAGAGTGCGGAGAACTCCGGGCAAGCGGAGAGCGCGGAGAACGCCGGGCAAGTGGAGACTGCGGGGAGTGCAGAGATTTCCGGGCGAGCGGAGAGTGCGGAGAGGTCGGCGCGTTCTGCCGGACTGGGTGACGTCTATGCCGTTGCTGAGGTGCGTTTGCCGAGGGGTCAGTTGTAAATGTTCAACCGACTCGCTCTCGAAACGAGAAACTCCGTATGGATAAAATCGATGTACTGTCCATCCCTCCGTCGCAACTTCCGCATTTTCCGCTCCTTTTCTCTCACCCTTGCTCCCTTGCTCACTTCTCTCTCACCCTTGCGCTTTCGTACCGTATTCGCGACCGTTATCGCAACCCTCGTTTTCCCAATTCAGGGAGGAGTGATGGACCGCCTTCGAACCCTCTGTCTCGCGCCAGCCGTCGCTGCGACCCTCGCGCGTCGCCTGCACAGAAATAGGGAGGACAGCGCGGCAGCCGTGGCTGCTGGCAGCGGAATGGGCGGAACCAGCGGAACCAGAGTAACTGTTATCTGGGACAACAACGCGGACAATGGCTTTAACTCTCTGTTTTCAGGGCCACCGAGGGTTGGAAGTCTGCCGGGTGTGCCGTCCGAGGTGCTCGCTGACGTGGCTGTCGAGGAGACGTTGGATGAGTCGCTCAAAGGGAGATTGACGGCTGAGATTGAGGTACGGGGATGCGAACGGGCGAAGCTGCAGGTTCCTTCGATGTTTACTTGGCTGATTCCTGAGACGCCTTGGCTGTCCTTTCCTGAATCCTTATTATCCCCTCCAATGTCATTATTATCCCGTCTCGTATCCATAGTAGCCTGTTCCGTGTCTCAACCACAATGTTTCGTGTTGGCAGGTGGCTGTATCAGAGTGCAAGGAGAACGAGTCGAGCGAGATCAACACTACCAGCACCAGTAGCGAGTCTGTTCGCCTGCTGCTGTCTGCAGCGGCTGCTGCAGAGCTGCCTTCGGCAAGTGGCAGCAGCGATACCGACGGCCGCGTTGTTCTGGTACGTTAACGACATGTTCTGGTTCCGACTGTCAACGTTTTCCGCATTTTCAGCAACGCGGCCGTCGGTATCGCTGCTGCCACATATGCCTTGGGCACTCCAGAGAACTAGCTCCTTCATTCCCCCCTTTGCGAATTCCCGCTCTTCCCATTCTTCCACCAGTCACCTCAGGAAATCTGCACTGCGCGGCGGCTGGAAGCGGCCTGCCTTGGCGGGGTGCGGCCGTCAGCAGGCGTGGCGGCCATCATGCGCGCCCAACCCGCCTCCGCGCTCTCCGCCCTCCCCCGCTCCACCGCTGTGTACCTCGAGAGGGGAGCTGCTGCTGCACCAGGCGCAGGGGGCGCAGGGGGAGCTGGAGAAGAAACAGGCGCAGGAGATGCAGCAGCAGCATCAGGGGAAGACGCACGAGCAGCAGAAGCAGCGACAGGGACTTGTGGTGGCTGCGCAAATGATCCCCTTCTGAACTGCACCATTCGCACTCTCGCCTGGCGGTACCTCCGTGCAGGCTCCTCCTCTCCTTCTTCCTCCTCTCCCTCCTCTTCTTCCTCCTCCTCCCCCTCTTCCTCCTCTCCCTCCTCTTCTTCCTCCTCCTCCCCCTCTTCCTCCTCTCCCTCCTCTTCTTCCTCCTCCTCCCCCTCTTCCTCCTCTCCTTCCTCGCTCTCTCCCGAGTCATCCTTCACAGTGGCTGCGTTTGAGCCCGAGAACGCAGCTGCTGTGGCCGCTAGCTTCCACCCCTCCCGCGCGCCTCTCCTCCTCCCCGTCACCCTAGCCCGCCTCAAGCGCTGCTCTCGTGCCTCCTCGTCCTCCTCGTCCTCCTCATCCTCCTCGTCCTCAGCAGCTAGAAGACTGCTTCAGGAGTCCAGTGCTTCAGACTCAGCTGCTGCTGCTGCTGCTGCTGCAACTGGTGCTCTTGCTGACGGTGCTGCTGGTGGTGGTGCCGATGGTGTGGATGTGAGTGTGTGGGAGGGTGACAAGAGCGAGTGGAGCTGCGCCCAGCTGCAGGTGGCGGAGGCGTGGGTGGTGTCGGCAGCAGCGGCGCTCATCCACACCCGCGCGTCTCTCGAGGCCCGCTTCCTCCAAGCCCAGGCCAACGCCGGCACCACCCGTCGTATCCTCTCAGGGGCTATGAGTGGAGCAGAAGGAGCAGAGGGAGCAGAAGGGGCAGATTCTGAGGGCCCTGGCAGCAGTGGTGGCGGTGGCAGCAGCAGCACAGGAGCTTCGTTTGTGGTGGAGCCAAGTGTGTGTGAGGCGCCTCCTGCTACCTCGTTCAAGGGCACAGCAGAGCGGTTTCTGCGCCAGTTCATTGTGGATGGTGCGTTGTGTGACTGCTGCGCCGCCTGCCTGCCTGCCTGCCTGCCCACATGCATGCCTGCCTGTCTGGTTCAACACTCTATGAGCCATCCCCTGATTGTGTTCTTTCCCTTGTCATTGTCTCCACATCCCTCTACCTACAGAGAAGCTCAAGACCATCTATTGTTTCGTTCCCAAGGTCGCCTGCACGAGCTGGAAAACCTGGTTCCGGCAGCAGCAGCAGGGGCCGGGGCAGAAAAACATTTCAGACGTGTACCTCACTCACGACCACTACAAGAGCGGCTTACGCATTCTCGCATACCACTATAACGAGTACGAGGTGATCCGGCTGCTCACCCGCCCGGATTTCTTCAAATTCTCGTTTATTCGAAACCCGTATGCGCGGCTGGCCTCGGTGTATTTCAACAAGCATGTGAACGGAGGGCCGCCGTTCGGGCGGCAGTTTTGGAACAATATGTTTTTCCGGGGAATCACCCCGTACAGAAAGCTGGTGGCGGAGCAAGGGGGGAAGGACCTGTTTGGGTTCAGCGATTTTGCGTACCTGCTGAGGAGTGTGGAGGAGAGGCTACGGAGTTACATGGAGTCCCACGTGCAGCCACAGGTAAGAACGAGAGGTGGGGATGGGATGGGAGGGACGGGGATGGGGGCTAGGTGGTTTGGGTGGGTAAGCAGGGGGGCAGGACCTGTTTTGGTTCAGCGACTTTGCGTATCTTCTGAGGAGTGTGGAGGAGAGGCTGAGGAGCTACATGGAGTCCCACGTTCAGCCTGAGGTGAGAGGGAGAGAACATGCGGATTGTATATGGGGATTGGAGTTAGGTTGTTGTTTCAGTGACTCTATGTATCTGCCGAGGAGCGTGGAGGGGAGAGGGTAAGGAGCTATATGGAGTCCCACGTGCAGCCACAGGTGAGAAAGAGCGATGGAGATGATAATGGGAGGGGGGAGAGCAATGGGGATGATAATGGGAGGGGGGAGAGAGACGGTTTGTAGTTTGGCTTATGAGTGTGTTTGGGTGGAAGAGAGAGGGTGGAGTTGCAGTAGAGAGGATGCTCGTTATTTATCTCAACGTTAGTCTGTAGCTGATCATCCTACTTACTCCCCAGCACCATGCGCCTCTGGCTTGCCCCGTTCACAGATGGATGTCTGTCGGTTCGATGCCATCAAATTTGACTTCATTGGCCACTTTGAGAGCCTTGATGCTGATGTGGCCGAGGTTCTGCATAGGCTGAATAAGAATGATGCCTCTGGTGCATTTTCCATCGGGCTGAACGCGCACAGGACGAATGCAGAGGACAAGCTGACATCTTTGTACGATGAGGTATGTCAAGCACGTTGAGTCTCTTGCTATCTTCGTCCTCTTTCAGAGTTATTGCCAACTATGGCCTTCATGGTTCTTTTTTTTCCCTGCGATGCTTACTCCTCTATGATCGCATATTGTAATTTTCTGGTATGCCTTCTGATTGCAGAGAGCCTTTTCCGAGGCTTCACACCTGTACGCCTCAGATTTCAACATCCCGTTGAATAACATTTCTTACGACGTTCCAGAAGGGCTTGCGAGGAAGTTCGGGACGACAACTGCAGTTACCCAATAGACGGCATTGCCTAGAAACAGAAGTTAGTACACGTACCTTAGGTATAGGTTAAAATGATTCGGGTGCATTAACTTTTGCCTTGTGTTTAATGACAAGAATGTCATAACCACTGAAGCATGAGCTCATTTGGTGAATACATTACTGAAACTGCATTCCGTATCGGAGCATTAGTTGAAGCGAGCCGTGAAAGTTTCTGACACGCTTCAGTGCCAGCCGACATTCGCCGACTGACGAGTCGGAGGCGTTCGCGGGTTGAACTGAAATCACCTGCGGACCAAACCACACCTGCGGAAAGTTCTGACGAATTCAGCTCTGGTCGCTAGCGGACCTGTGAGCTGTTTTGCTAGTTCCTGTAAACATCAGGTTCGTGACGAGCCAACCACACCTTCCCCGAACCGAACGTGTGCTTCTCTGACGCCGGTTTCCGAAGCAGAGTCACATACGTCAGCAACCAGCCACCAATAGACGGCAGGGATGTGAGAGCCGCCAAATTGGCCTTTCCTGATTCGTCCTCTTGTTCAATCGAGCCACCCCTTCGGTGCAACTCTGCGTGTCGTATCGTACCTGCTTCGCTTTTTCTGCCCAGTCTGACATATATGCTGTGGTCCCGAAACAGCTGCTGCGAAGGTTTGGAGCCGCATTTCTGCTTGTCGCGCCGCGTGTTTGGAATTTTGTCAATCCACTCGTGTAATGCCCGTCCGATTCATGTCCACACCAGCAGTTGTTGTGCCTACCTCCCTCCCTGCTTGCTGCTACTGTACCGTTTCCGCACAAGCACCCTCCCTTTTCTCGTTCCTTGTGCTGTGTCTCGCACTCTCACTCTCAACGCAGCAATCCACTGGGTCGAAACGCATTCTTCTGACAGCGAATTTCGCCGAATGTCGCTCCGTGAAAACCGCGGTGGTGTGTTTTCCCTCGCCCGATAACTCACCGCCGAGATCCCTCCATCAGCCGTCCCCTCTCTTGTTCCTTTTCGTAAGAATTTTCATACAATAAACCGTTCGTCCAATCCCTTTTCGTTTAGCATCGATCGACAGGCTCCGCCTTTGAGACGAGCGGTAAATCTCCGCCGTCCAGTTGACTTTCCTCAGATCGTGCCTGCCCCGTAGGTCGTACACATCTTCTGTCGGCTTTACCTTCTACTGCCCTTCATTCAGGCGGTACCTTCATTTATTCCCCCCTAACATTACCGACATTTTAGGTCTCGACTGGTGGCGTAGCAGCCGGGGACTATCGTAATCTACCTGTCCATACCTGTCCTTTCCGGCCGTACCTCGTAGGCTCCTAACGTCCTGCTCTCATCGAGTATAACCTTCCTTTGCCAGACTTCAATACTCATAGCTGTCGCCTCTGATTTCCAGCGATCGAGCCTCTCTTGATGTGGTCGTTTTAATTTTCCAGTCGATTTTTTATAGCCATACCTTCCTCTCTGACCTCGCTGTGTGAAGTTGCTTGTACCCCTGCAACCGGTTTCCAGTACTGCGTGAAGCTCATCCAACAGTGACCGTTAGCGCACGTCTCGCCGCGAAATGCGCAGCGGCTTATCTAAGTTCGCCCGCGACTGAGGGCAACTTGATTATGGTGTTTTCGCTGTTACCCTCATCTATCGATCGTTGGTAGCAATTGCCAGCTGTTGAGACGCCTCAAGAAATCTGTCGGTATTGGCGTGCTACCGTGCTCGTTGTTTCCGCTGTGCGGTACAGCGATAATTCAGCAGTAGTGGGTAGGTACATTACGAGCCGCCAGCGGCGCGCGCCTGCCGATTCTTTCGATCCGTTTGGCTGAGCATCAATCTAGCCGGAAACATCTGCATTGACTGGATCTGCTAATGGCGAAAACATCCGAAACAGGCGAAGATCAGCGAGTTTCGCCAACGGGCGAAAAGCTCCTTCCGGTCACCACCCGCGCGGTTACCCCCCGGGCCGCCTCCGCGGATCCGTGGGGGCTGCTGCGGTGGGGAAAGTACTGCGGGAGCGGCGGGGGGGATTTATTGCGCGCCGCGTTTCACATACTCCCTTTCGCGCTACTCCTGGCTTTATTCGCCGTCGCCTCGACTTTCGTCTTAGGCGGGTTTTCGCAACAACCGTTTCGCCAAAGCCTCATAGTTCCGCTGTCCGTGTCGAAAATGTCGTCACCTGCTACCACCTCCTCCTCCGCCGCCGCCGCCGCCTCCGCCGGAACTCTCGCCGCGCCGTCAGAGGGCGCTTCCAGCAAATTTTCAGGTGAAGAGGGGTCCGTGTTTGGCGGATTCAGGGAGTCCGCGGAAGCGGAGCCTGCGGAGGTTTCCGCGCGGAAATCGGAGGAGGAAAAGTCCGGATCTCTAAAATCAGACGAGAGCGTAGCGGATGTGACTGTAAGGAAGGAGAAGGCGAAAGGTACGGGCAAACCCGGAGGAAAGGGGAAGTCTGGGAAAATAAAGGAGAAAAGACGCCCAGGTGACTCAAACGAAGACGGGATTTCGGAATCTACGGTGGTTGGAGTGACCCCGATAGTGGAACCGTCGATTGAGTTGCCTCCGGTACAGTCAAACAAGAGTGAATCTGATAACGGGTCGGCTTTTGAGGCGTCTGTTCTGGAGGCTATTTTCGAGGCGCCTCAAAACGAGGGCGATCCTATGAACGCGCCCGGCGGTGCGGGCCTGGTGGTGACTGAAGCGAGTCGGAATGAGGCTGCTGACGTGGCACGTGAGAATACGGCCAATCAGGAGGATGAGGGAGGAGAGGCTGTGGCGGTTGGGGAGGGTCAGGAACTGCGTGGCGGTGACGTGGAGGCTGCATCGACGGTCGAGAAGACACAACAGGAGGAGGCATCAACGGAGGAGGGGGAAGCATCGGCGGAGGGGGAAGCATCGGCGGAGGGGGAAGCATCGGCGGAGGGGGAAGCATCGGCGGAGGGAGAAGCATCGGCGGAGGCGGAAGCATCCGGAGAGGGGGAGGCATCGGCGGGTGCGGCGGGAGAGGAACAGGCGGAGACCACGAAGGAGGGGGCGGATGCCCATGCAAAGAGCGCGTTTGTCGCTGTAACGGAGGTGAGTCTAGCGGGATTGCGAGGGACGGATGGGGATGGTGCAGGCGCAGTAGCTTTCAGTCCATTGGTACCTTGCTCTCAGTCCTGCGGGTATGCGGCATTGCTATATCATCCCACTATAGCAATGCTATAGGCCGATATCCGGCTTTGCTATATCATCCCGTCCCGTTTTCTTCTCCCTTCCTCCGCCTCCGCCGCTTCCTCCGCTTCCTCCCGTTCATCCCGTTGTTCCCCTCCCCCTCCCGCGCTCCTCCCCTTCCTCCCCACGCGCTCCTCCTCTCTCCCAGGGCGATTTTCCTTCGCGCCTCGGCGTCCTCTGCGCCGCCCCGTCAGTTGCGGCGGTTCTCGCGGCGAGAAACGCGGAGCAGCAGGAACAGGCCGGGCAGGCGCGAGCAATGGCGGTGGTCTGGAAAGGCGGGGACGATCTTTTCGGCGGGCTGCCCGGAAAAGAAGAGATCCGGAAATTGTTGGCGGGAGCACCGAGGAGAGGCGGTGGGGATAAGGAGAATCAGACAGAGCAGCAGCAGAAGCAGCAGAAACAGCAAGAGGAGAAGCAGGAGGAGAAACAGGGAGCGGTGGATTCATGGCCTGAGCTGAGGCTGAGCGACGATGAGACGGAAGGCAGAGAAGGCAAGGTGGAGATTAAGGTAAGCTTCTCTCTGCCCAATCGCTTTCCCACCCTTTGTTTCTTGTGTGTGCGTGACGCGGAGACGGCTGATATGGGCAGAGATGACTTGAAGGAGATAAAGGTAAGTTGCTCTCCGGGCGAATGGCTTTCTTCTCTTCTTTTGTGTGTGTTTTGTTTCGTCTTCGCCTTTGTCTTAGTTTTTTTCCCCTACCCCACTCGCTTGTTTCACGACTTGTCTCATTCTCTCTCTTCCCCCTCCCTCCTCCCTCCTCTCTCTCTGCTGCTCTCTCGTGTGTGTTCCGCCTGTCATGCGTCTCCCCTCTTCACTCCCCGTGCACCAACCAACCAACCCACGCACCCACCAACGCAGGTATCAGTGCGGCCATGCGGGAACGGCATTATAAATGAACCCGCGGGTGCTGAGTGTTCCCCTGCCCCCTCCCTCTTTCCTCTTCCCGGCCCACTCTCCCCCTTGCAGGTCCCAGTGCGGCCGTGCAGGAACGGCGTTACAAACGAACCCGCGGGCACCATCAAGCATCGCTCTCTTTCCTTCCCCGTGCACCAACCCTCCAACCGACCATCTCCCCCTTCGCAGGTGTCAGTGCGGCCGTGCAGGAACGGTATTATAAACGAACCCGCGGGCACCATCAGGCTGTGGGTGCGAGACGACCTCGCAATGACAGTGGCTGGCAGCAGGAGCTTAGACCTGGTGAGTTGCCACCGGACCCCACCGCACTGGACCCCCTCAGAGTCAACTCACTAGATTTCTGCTGACAGCTCTGCCATCACGCTGTCTCGTTGCTTCACTCGCCTCTTTCCGTCCCCCCAACCCTCATGCCTTACGTCAGTCCTTCCCACCCATTTTCCCTCCCCTCTTCATCTTCCTTCCCCTCCCCTTCCCCCTTCCGCCAGACCCCTGCCGAGTCGTGCAGTGTAAGAGCCCTCGAAACGGCCTGCCTGGGCGGGGTGCGGCCGTCAGCAGGCGTGGTGGCCATCATGCGCGCCCACTCCCCCTCCGCCCTCTCCGCCCTCCCCCGCTCCTCCGCCGTTTACCTTGAGAAGGGGGCAGCTGCGCCTGGGGGGAACACGTGCGGGGGGTGCAGGGGGGACTCACTGAGGGATTGCACTGTCAGGACTCTTGCTTGGAGGTACCTTCGTACCGGGTCCCCCTCTGCTTCCGCTGATTCCTCCTCTGCTTCCGCTGATTCCTCTTCTTCTTCCGCTCCTCCTCCTTCCTCCTCCTCCTCCGCTTCCTTCCCAGTGGACTCATCCCCAGCGTCCGATTTCACCATCGCTGCGTACGAGCCGTCGGATGCAGAATACGTGGCGTCCACGTTTCACCCCCTCCGCGCCCCTAGAATGCTCCCTGTCACCGCCCTCCGCCTAGCCTTCTGCTCCAATCCCTCCTTGCCTCCTGCTGCTGCCGCCTCTCCTCCTGCCGCCCCTCCTGCCGAAACTCTTACCGCCCCTCCTGCTGATGGTGCTGTGGAGGGGAATGCTGAAGCTGTGTCAGCAGAAGGTTCTGCCGTAACTTCACCTGATTCTTCCTCTCCTACTGAATCTTCACCTGCTGCTGAGGAGTCAAGAGCGTCAGAGGGAAAGGATGCGAGGTTGGGGATTGAGGAGGAAAGAGGGGAGGAGGGAAGTGGGGGAGGGGTGGAGAGGAAGCTAATAAGTGTGAAGAGAGGAGGGAGACGACTGCTAGGTGATGGGGAGAGTGTTGGTGGGGATGGTAGCAGAGAGGAGGGTAAGGGAGAGGAGGGTAAGGGAGAGGAGGGTAGTGGAGGGGAGGGTGGGGCTGTGGAGGGTGAGAGAGGGGAGGGTGGTGGTAGCAGCACAGAGAGCAGCGCAGGGAGCAGTAAGGGCGAAGCAGAGAGCACAAACGTGGAAGCAGTGCAAGCGGAAATGGCTCTTAGCATGCTCAAGGCGCGGGAGGAGAGCAGCGAGGGGGAGGGCGGCGCTCGGAGCGCGGAGGCACCAGGTACAGAAGCAGGCAGCACAGAAGCAGTGAGTGCGGAAGCAGTGAGTGCGGAAGCAGTGAGCGCGGAGGCCCTGAGCGCGGAAGCAGTGAGCGCGGAGGCCCTGAGCGCGGAAGCAATGCAAGCGGAAATGGCGCTGAGCATGCTCAAGGGGCGCGTGGAGAGCGGCGAGTGGAGCTGCGCCCAGCTGCAGGTGGCGGAGGCATGGGTGGTGTCAGCAGCAGCGGCGCTCATCCACACCCGCGCGTCTCTCGAGGCCCACTTCCTCCAAGCCCAGGCCCACGCCGGCACTGCCAGGGGGATCCTGGGGCTGGGGGAAGGGGGGAGGGCGGGGGAGAGGAGGCTGGGGGAGAGGGAGGGCGGAGGTGGAGGGGAGGGGAGTGGAGGCGAAGGGGAGGGGAGCGGAGAGGCAGGAGGAGTGGCTGAGCCTGCGAGTGAGAATGTGGCGGGGGTGGTCCCGTTCAAGGTACACCCGAGCGTGTGTGACTCGCGCGCCCCCACGCCCTTCATTAACCGCCGCTTCCTGCAGCAATTCCTAGTGGACGGTGAGGAGGGATAGGCGTGGGTGGGAAGGTATGGGATGTGATGGGTGGGGTTTGGGTGGGTGAGGTGGTGGGTAAGAGGAAGGCACCCACTCATTCGCCCACTGCCTTCTGCCATTTGAGCTGCTTGATAGGAAACCGTTTCCCGGGTTTCTAGTATGGGTCATACTCCTTTTGTCCCCGTTACAGAGCAACTCAAGACAGTGTATTGCTTCGTGTACAAGGCGGGGTGCACGGGTTGGAATGTGTGGTTCCGGCAGCAGCAGCACCACCCAATCTGCCTCTCCCTCTCATTCCTCCATACAACTTTCCCTTCTCTCCGCCCCACCTTCCCTTCCTGTACTCGTTACAGAGCAACTCAAGACAGTGTACTGCTTTGTGCCCAAGGCGGGGTGCACGGGATGGAAGGTGTGGTTCCGGCAGCAGCAAAACCGTCCCAACGCTACTGACGCGTGGATCGCACACGACCCGAAGCACTCGGGGCTGAAGCTGCTGGCATTCGACATGCAGGAGAGAGAGGTGCGTGGAAGGGCTTTCACGTGAGTGACTTTGGGAAAGGGAATTGTGTGGGCGTGGGGATTGCCCGCGATCCCCGCCACTCGGTGCTGAAGCTGCTGGCATTCGGCATGCAGGAGAGAGAGGTGCGTGGAAGGGTTGACTACCTTTGGCTTTGTCGAAGTGTGGTGCGAAAGGTATGCAGCAGCAGCTGAATACTTGAAGTTCTCGTTCATGCGTAAAACCTTGACCCCCTTGAAACCCTTTGAAACCCCTTCAAACCCCTTCAAGCAGCTGAATACTTCCAGTCCTGGCCCTTTTACCCCCCGCATCCCTCCCTCTTCAGGTGATCCGCTTTCTGACCCGCCCCGACTACTTCAAGTTCACGTTCGTGCGTAACCCATACACGCGGTTACCATCGGCGTATCTCAACAAGCACGTGGGAGGAGGGCCCCCTCACGACCGCGCGTACTGGAATGCCCGCTTCTTCCACAACCCTGCTCCGTACCACCAGCTGCTGGGTCTGACTTGTTTGACTTTCTTGACCCCCTTGAAGCCCCTTGAATCCGCCCCCTCGCCCACCCTCCCCGCTCTCCCCCTCTCCCTCCCTCCCTCCTTCCCCCAGGTGATCCGGTTCCTGACCCGTCCGGACTACTTCAAGTTCACATTCGTGCGTAACCCATACACGCGGTTACCATCGGCGTATCTCAACAAGCACGTGGGAGGAGGGCCCCCTCACGACCGCGCGTACTGGAACGCCCGCTTCTTCCACTCCATCGCTCCGTACCGCCAGCTCGTGGATCGGAATAACGGGTCGGACTTGTTTGACTTTCCTGACTTTGTGGAGCTGACGTGGCACATGGAGAGGAACAAGCGGTGTATCATGGACCCGCATATCATGCCAGAGGTATGGATTGAATTTGGTTGACTTGATTGACTTGGAATGCTTGACATTTGATTTTTCACCACTACTGACCCCTTGTGATTTGTTACTATCTTCCACCCACATCTGTATGTTCCAGTGTGACCTCTGGTCCAGTCTTTCTGGCTCGACTCATCCTCTCTCTTTTCCGTGTATATGCGCTTAATTGAATTTAGTATTTCTAGATGGTCACGGAGGTAGCATTGAATACAGCTATGTGTTTCACCATTTATCACCCTCTTCTCCCAATGCAGGCTGACGTGTGCGAGTTGCATCGGATCAAGTACGACTTTGTAGGCCGGTTTGAGAATTACGAGCATGACGTGGCAGAGGTTCTCAATCGGTTCGGCAAGGACGCTAACGATGCGTTCCATATTGGTCGAGAAGTACACCCAACCGACGCTTCTGACAAGACCGTTAAACTGTATAACAAGGTGTGTTAAATGTGGGCTTGTTTTTTCTCCTTCATCCCTCCCAGCTTTCCTTTACCATGTAGTCCTGCTTTTACTGCTGCACTCATTGATTGTGTGTGTGAGTGTAAGTGTGTGTGTGTGTGTGTGTGTGTGTGTGTGTGTGTGTGTGTGTGTGTATGTGTGTGGATGCACACTCTTTTTATGGTCCCCAGAAAGCATTGGCACTCGTGGCGAGCATGTACAAGTCCGATTTGGATGTGCCGTTGAATGGAATACATTATGATGCACCTGCAAACCTGAAGGCTGCATACCTAGATTAGCATGTATTGTTTCCTCAAGCAATTTTGAGGATAGCATGTAGGACAGCAATGACAGCTGTAGATTCATTCATATATATGATATCAGCGAGGTATCCCTTGAATGGTTGCTTTGGATTTGATATCAGCGAGGACCATTTTGGTCGGTTGACTGTCGGTCGGGTCGGTCCTCCTCCAACAGAAATACCCTACCAAAACCCGGTCCCCAAAAACTTGAGAGCTGATTTATGCACTTGTGAAGTTATAGCACATACACCTGATGCTCACCTCCTGCACGCGAAATTGCCTTGCACCGGATGGAAACCTTGCACCCGTGGGTTTTGTGCCGTGACGTTGCACCCACGTTACAAGCACGTCGACCAATACGAACCACAGAAACTGAAGTTTGACTGACGAGACCAAAGTCAAACAGTCAGCGTTGAGTTACAATTGTTTTTTATAAGCCCTTTTTGCCCGATGCGAATTGACGAAATCTTCAAGCGAAGCGAGAATCGCTTATAAGCCCAGAGGGTAAGGCGAGGTCGGGGGGCTCAACCGGGCATCGTGTGTAATCCAAGTTGGCATTGGTGCTTGTAGTACCTTGTCTTGAACTGCCTGTCCGTTGTTTTTGTTTGCCCGAATGAAAACATGGGCCTGCCTTCTCTCACCTCCACCATCCTGCGTGCCCGCGCGTTTCTCTTCTCTCCAACCTCTTCAGCGTGGCTGCTGTTGCTGTAGTTGCTTCTCCTTGCCTCCTCTGTGCATTTCCTTTCTGGCTGCCCATTTGCGGGCATCCACAGGCTGAGTCTGACGCGGCGCATTGCTCCAATTGGTTGCTGCGCCCCTCTGGGGTCCTTTCGAATCTAGCCCGTCACAAATTGTGCGGGCAGCGTGTCGTGTCGTATTTGATTCATTTCACGCGCTCTTCCTCTCTTTTGCTTCTTCCGCAACGTGGGCGTGGGGGTGCGCTGCTCATATCACATCCCTTCCCATCCCACATCTCCCTCCCCCATACAAACTGCCACCAAATCTCCGCCGCTCGCCTTTCCGCCCCCATCAGCTCGTTCCCCCAACTAAACCTCCTCCCCTCATTTGTCCCCTCATGCTGCTAAAACATTGAAACCTTCCGCAAACTCTCTTAAACGCTTGATATTTCTGTCAGACCTCTACAATCTCCGCAAACATTTCGGAATCCCGATTCCCGAGTCTCGCGCAATTCCCCAAAGCTTCCGCAAGTTCCCGCAATTCCTCCCTGCCTGCCCCTCCCCTGATCCCTTTTCTTCCCCATCTCTTTTTGGTCTCTCCCTCCCTGCGCATCACACCAACCCACCCGCCATAAACGCGCCAAGCATCCTCCCTGCATTGGCAGCTTGAACGAGGAGCAAGCCTTGTCCCAACCCTAAAGACAGCGACTTGCATTCTGTTTCGTCCTGCTTCTGCTCCCTCGTCCAACGAAGCCATGGCTTGGCTCGTTTTTGCAACATGGCCATGGCGTTTACTTACTAGCCACACCTGGCATGTCGAGTCTTGAGTCCCTGCGACCTTGCGAGCGGCGCGTAGAGAACATTCGAGTGTGTACAGTGTGTCCTGTCTCGGCCCACAGAATTCTTCAAGGCTTTTGAACACACTCTCGGCCCACAGAATTCTTCAAGGCTTTTGAACACACTCCGTAGGTGTTTTTTCAGTATTTATGAGCCGCCATAGGCAATGACGAGCGTTCTATGGCCAGACTCAAACTTCTGCGCAACTTAGGTAGCGATATCTCCATGGCGTAGACTATTTACGCGCCGCGCCTCTCATCTCTCCTCTGAAGCGCATATCAATCAGCTCGTCTACCGCCTCGATATCAATCAGCCTCACGACTTTCTAGCAGCACGTGCATACAGCACCCGCGCAGGTGGTAGCAGTAGTGCGAGTACCACCATGTCGGTAATCCCGATGTCGCCGTCTCAGCCCGCAGTTTCCGCTGCCATGTCGCTGGCGGCGAAACCGGCGGCCGGCGCCGCGTCGCTGGCGGCGGACGTGGTGGGCGACGTATGGAAGGCGGATTGGTACGTGGCGCACTGCTACAAGATCCCCGCTATGGCGCAACTGAACGTCGTGCTCTCGCAGGTGAAATATTTGTTATGATAATTAAGGTGAATTACACTTACAGTGTGAGGGACACAAACAGCTGTTTTGCGCGATAAATCACGGGAGAAGCATCGCAAGGAGAATCTGGGAAGCGGGTTCTTGTGTGATGATGGTACGTGTCGCACTGCTACAAGATCCCCGCCATGGCGCGACTCGACCTCACGTCTCCTGTGTCCGCTCACCGCTCCCCGCTCCTCCGCACCCTCCCCACCCCTTTCCCTGCCCCGCAGGTGGCGCAAGCGCCGACGCGGAGCGACATATCCCTCCCCAGTTGCGGCCCCGCGGACTTGAAGCGCTTCCACCGCGACCTGGCGGAGTTAATCTCCTCGGCGGAATTCGCGGGGAAGCAGCTTAACGTTTTCTTGCACGCCGTCCATTCCACCGCATCGGGCCTTCAGAAAGACATTTCGAAGCGCCTCGCGAACGAGAATCCGTCCTTTTCAAAAAACTCCCGAAGGTGGTTCCCGAAGTTCCCGTCCGGGGGGGACGATTTCGCTGTAGCATCTGCTGCGTTAGCGACGTCGAATCTCGAGGCGCCTCGTAAAAGGCTAGACGAATCGGCTGTAGCAGCGGTAGCCACGTCAGGCGCGGGGATTGGTTCCGCGGTTTCGAGTGCGACGTCTAGCGGACGAGAGTTGACGGATGTCAGGGCTCACGATAACGGTAACGGAAACGGAGACGGTAACGGTATCGTGGCCGCGAGCCAGATTGACCGTACTTTCGTTTCTGCCCGTGATAGCACCACCCACGCAGTCGGAAACGTTAGCAGTAGCGAAGCCACCAGGAACCTTCGTTTGTGGACTGAAGCAAACCGGGAATGCCTTAGCGCTACTTTCTCCTCTGCCGCGCCGCCTAAGTCGCCGACCAAACCGACATTCGCGGCTCGGCTGCGCTCCCGGTCGATGAGCGGAGTGACGACGGCGGTGGCGCTGTTCCGCTCTCCCGAGAATGCGGTTGTGCGCAGCAAAGATTCCGCCGTTGCGCGGGGAACGGGGGAAGGGGGGGCAGCGCCGGGGGCAGAGTCGGGGGAAAGGGTCATTGCGCGGGAAGGGGCAGAAGCGGGGGCAGATGGGGTGACTATAGCGGGAGATGTTGCAAGAAACGAGGTCCGCGGCTCCGGTCCCTTCTCGTTCCGCGTCGCCCCGCCTTCCGCGCTCCTAGTGGGGGGCGCGGAAGGAGACGGGGAGGAGAGGGGGTTGCGGGGAGGAAGGGAAACGGGTGGAGCGGGCGGGGCAGGGGGAGCGGCGGCTCTCCGCGGGTTCTTGCTGTGCGGGCGGGGAATGCGGAGTGACAGCGAATCGGGAGCCAGCAGCAGTTGCGCCGAGGGGGAAACAGGCGGGGGCGAGGAGGAAAATCTCACTCGGGAGGGGCGCGATTCGGAAGTGGAAGGCGAAGAGGGGGCAGGGAGGAAGGCGGCAGGAGGAATTGCGGAAGGGGAACGTGCGGAGGGGGTGGGGGGTAAACGGGGAAAAGAAGGGGTGGGGAGGCATGGGGTCGAGGAATCAAATATTGACGAGGAGATCCAATCAGATACTAATATTTTTCGAGAAGCGGGAACAGACAGTATTGCTTTCCGCCATGGCCGCGCCAGCGTGTCCATGCCACGTGCCGACACGTCAGCAGAGGCGTTCTTTCCATCGTCCACGTCAGTAGCCGTCCCTGCCACGTCATTTGAAAGAAGCGGGGGCGGGGACGGGGGAGGTAGAGCAGGGGACGTTTATGGTCCGCGCTTAACTAAGAGTCAGTCAGTAGCAATGGAACGTAACCGTCACAATTACAGCAGCGGCAGCATTAGCAGGGGGGAAGGGGGGAGGAGAGGGGGACGCGGGAAGGCGGAAGGCGGAGGGGAAGTGGGCGGGGAGGGCGGAAAAAGGGCGGGAAAACCGCCTGCTAAGAGCAGTCACGAACGGTTACAGGAGATTCTAAAGAATGTGACTATAGGGGGGACGAGAGGAGGCCCGTTGCAGATGGCGCGGGGGGCTATAGCGAGGGGGGGAGTGGGAGGGAGCTTTGGGGGGAGCGGCCCGGGGGGAGCGGGGGGAGGCTGGGCGTCTGCGGGGGGAATGGGGAGTCCGCGCGTGTGGGAGGGAATGGACGGCCAGGATGGCATCTCGAGATTCCACAGGGGAATGTCGGTGGCGGAAAGAGGGGAGAGGGGAATAGAGGCGGGAGGGGGGGAAGGGGGGAGCGGAGGGGGAGCCAGGCGGCTTATGCCCACGTCCCTGTCTGTAGTCTCGCGTAGAGGGGGAGAGTGGGGGGAGGAGGAGATGGGGGAGGGGTGGGCGGAAGGGGAAGCGGAGCAGGGGGAAGGGGGAGGGGACTCATGGGGAGGAGGAGGGGAAGCCAGCAGCATGGCGAGTGGTAGTGGCAGTAGCCAATCAGGACACCCGCTTTCATCTCCCACTGCTCAGTGTCAACCCCCTAATGGTGGTGTTCCTGTGTCGCCCAAGCGGCCGGTACTTTCAAAGGCAAAGCTACAGCAGGAGGAGATGCTACTACAGC